TTAATTTGATTTCACTTCATCTGTTCTTGAATATTATAGAAAAGCAAACTTCAATTTCACAAAGTTTTCAAAATTTAGCATCTGCTGGTGGTCATCTTGAATTTCTGATTGGCACCAGAGTAACAACACTAATATGGAGCTTCACAGGAACCTATCTGCTAAGTTTGATTTCAATTAGTTCAGATATTACTAAAAAGATGCTTCTTTACTGAGTCAAACACAAATAAGAGAAGGCCATGCTGGCAATGTTTGTTGGTGTATCGCCACCACAATGGAAACAATCGAAAAGGAGCTTGTGAGGAACATGTCTATAAAAAGTTGGTTTCCATTCTGGTCAATGGTTTTCCAGACATCAAAATGTGAAATGGACGGACTACGAAAGCCAAATAATGACAAAAGCTCACATGACCAAAAAAGATTTTGATGAGCGGTGCACACCAGGCTACAACTTTTGACACTGGGGAATATATTTTTTGTTTGCTTGATTGACTTCGAAAATATTTTCATATTTAAATATGGTGACGAAATCACCTGAAATGCCTGGCTGGTAGGGGAGGGGGAATACAGTTTTATACAGCCTATTACCGGTAGTTGAACCTGGGACACAATATATTGTTAGCATGATAGTCCCAGGTTGAACCAAGTTCTAATTGGGGGGGGGGGGGGGGGGGGGGGGGGGGGGGGGTTTGGGGGGGGGGGGGGGTTTAAATGCAAATGAAGATGGGTTTGTCTAAATTCTTATATTAAGATACATAAGGGTCTAAGTAATCATTAAATGACATTCCAGTGAGGTATGGATGCTTCAATTCAAGAGTAAAATGAATATATGTGTCAGTAACTGGCGAGAACATTAATAAGTTTTTTTTCATTATGCCCGGCGTGACGGCAACTTAAAAATCCCCACGCACGCTCCCCCTAAAGTCGGAAAAATATTTTGCGGAATAAAAAACGAAAACAAAAATTTTCCTCGCTATGCTCCGCGAAATTTTCAGGTTCCCACCCACTAACCTGTAATTTGATTCGCATCTGCACTTGTGCTGTTACCGTCCTTAAATTGTTTATCACAGAAAGGATATATACGATACAAATCCTTGATCACAGATACTGGAATATTGCAAAATATTAATGACTACAAGCCACAGGTTCACCGTTGTGATCTCAGTCAGAAGATAGGAAAGATAATGCTCTTAGAGATCAGCAAGTGAGATGCTTAAGTTCAAAGGATAATAGTTATACCATAGGTCATAGTAGAAAATAGGTCTAGTAGCTCTCATTTTTCATCGAGCCTGTGATGAAAATCGCTGAAGCGAGACATAGCGATGATACATTCCGTAAACATATAGGTTCAGTTTGTTTAGACATCAACAACTTGGTCAAACCATCGTGGAATTTTAAGAAACATGGACAGAAGCTTCTTTATGGTCAAATGACAGTATCCAAGTCAAAATTATAAAAATATCATTTAACATCTGGCCAAGTGAAAAAGTAGCTTATAGTATGATGATGTTGGGCGGACAGAGAAAAGTGATTACCTAATTTGTGTAATCCCCAACCCCTACCACTCAAACTTCCAAGAAAGATAGCACACATTTCGAAGTTATAAACCTGGTATTATGGAACTGTATGCCAACTTTGGGGATTTTTTCCCTATTTTTCCAAACTATTATTCGTCAAAATTTACAAAAGACGATATCAATTTTGTGTAACTCCCACAGTTTTCCATACAGATCTTTGAAACTTCACAGAATGATTGCACAAATATGGAATTGTTTTTTCCAGACTTTGGAACATAGTAACTTTTCAAAAGATGGTGACAATCTTTGTCTTTAGAACTTCACGGAGTTTGCAAACCTATTGTGGTCGTGCATTTCAGTCCATTGTCGAGTTGTTACAAGATTATTTTTTTCCATTTTATATTGCCACATTAATGTTCTGTATAAACTATTATCCATTCGGTTTCAGAAACATTCTGCGCAACCAAGCCATTTGAGATTTTGGTCCATTTGTCATATTTTTACACGGATAAATGGTCATATATAGATTTTGTTACCACAAAAATCATTTACTTTCACAGACACAAAAATTTGTTTTGGAGGTTTGCAGGTTGTACCTATTAAGATGTCTGTAACTCAGCGGTTGTCGCTGGTTGCTCTCTGTCATATTTGTTTTGTCATAATGCAGGCCACTGGTTTTCCGTTTAAATTGTTATACCATTTGTCATGTCTGAGTCTTTTTTTTTTTAACTGAAAACATGCACGGTATGTTAAACCAACGATGTATATAGTAACTTTATAAATCCTTGGTTAAACTTATTGTTGAAGTCGTACGGTGACCCATACTTGCTTACATACAGGTCATTTGGAATCTGATGGATAGTTGTCTCAATGACCATCATATCACATCTCCTTATTTTTATTCAATTTTTTTTTTTGCAGTTAACATTTTGATACAGTTCAAGGTAGAATTATCTTTTTAGACATCAATTACTTTTTCAAACCATCATGGATTTTTTTGGAAACTTGAACAGAAGCTTATCGAATGATGGAATTTAGAACAAAATTTTCAAAATATTTTTCCACAGTTATAGGTATTTTACGACGAGTGCCACATGTGTAGCAGGATCTGCTTACCCTTCCGGAGCACCTGCAGGGGCGGATCCAGCCATTTTTAAAAAGGGGGGGGGGTTAAACTATATGTCCCCATTCAAATGCATTGATCGTCAAGAAAAAAGGGTGGGTTCCAACCCTCGGAACCCCCCCTCTGGATCCGCCACTGTCCTGAGATCAGTCCTAGTTATGTTGGACGGGTTCGTGTTGCTCAGTATTTTTTTGTGTGCTGTTGTTTGTCTTTTGGCCTTTTTCTTTTTTGCCATTGCGTTGTCAGTTTGTTTTCGACTTATGAGTTTGAGTGTCCCTTTGGCAATCTAATTAGAATATAGATCTCAGATTTCGTTATACTACATATATAACGAAATCAGAGTTCTATATTTTAATTAGATTGGTCCCTTTGGTATCTTTCGCCTCTCTGTTACAGATTAATGGACATTCTTGACTTTGAAATATTTAGGATTATCCTTTCTTGATGAAGGTAAATCCAGAAAAAGTGCTTCGGACTAACGAAATGTATGTGTTATTTCCATATACTAGCGCGGAGACGAATACAATGGCTGTTGGACTGCCCAAAGGTGTCAGTTGTCAGTACTTCTGGAATGACATGATTTATAGTATATTTTTCTAAAATTTCCCGTTCTTAAATTAAAAGAATTGAATAGAAACTACGGTTCCAACTCCCTCATTCAAAGATGACCTTTGATTAATTTGGCTATTCGTTTTATGTCCCTTTTGTTCATTAAGCTCTTAACGTTTCTACGTATTTATACATTCCTGGCTTTCAAATACTAAGGTTTCAGTGTACCTGATGAAAATTAATCAAGAAAACGCTGCGGACGTTAGTGTTAGTTTCATTTACACATCCTGTTCGAAATTTTACATAAGAAAAAATGCCTAGGTTCTTTTCACAACCGCATCGGTGGTCTCGTGGTAGCATGTTCGCCTCGAGTGCGGGAGGTCGTGGGTTCGAAACCCCGTCCGTGTCAAACCAAAGATTTAAACATTGGTATTTGATGCTTCTCCGCTAAGTACGCGGCAGTAAGGAGTAAGAGCAAAGAAGTCAGAATAGTGTGTTCGGGTAAGGAGACATGTCTTCGTGCGGACTGTTACCTTGTAAACTAGTGCGTTAAAAACCCGGCTCAGCGTGTCAGTCTCGTACAAAGCAGCTAGGGTTAATATTCATATTACTTTAACATGTTCTCGTCCTGAATGTGTATATTAATTTGCCGCTGGACGTTAAGCAGGCATCCATCATCATCTTTTTACCCACCAACTGCGTCAAGGAAAGAGTAAGTTTGGTGAGCTGCGAATGTTTCAATTGTAACAGTAAGCAGGTCATAAATGCAGATTTGATAGAGGTCTTGGTAAGTGCATTACATTTGCGCGTAACGTTTATGCGCACAGCTTTTGATTACATCTGGTAATGCAATAACCACGCAAAGCATCATGCCGCGTTGAGCTCTTCAGTAACATTCGATATATATCGAAATGATATCTTGCATATATATATATATAGTATTGTATTTCGCTCACTGCTAAATGATATGAAAGGATTTTAAGTACACTGTACTCTAAGAACTAGGAAACAGTAACTAGCCTGTTTTATCCCACCACATTCTCTGCGCGCCTGTTCAAAGTCAGGAACCTGCACTTCAGTTGTTTTGTTGGGACCTTTTATAGCTCACTATATATATAGCATTGGTTTTGTTCATTGTTAAAGGCTGTAAGGCGATATATATATATATATATATATATATAATTGTTTTCATCATCGTTCTTTGGTCTCTTTTGCATAGATATTTGTTTCATTACGAGTCATATCACATCTCCTTATTTTCATAATGAACCATGCTTTATGTGGTATTGATTTTACTCACTGCTGAATGCCATACGGTAACCTATAGTTGTTAATTTCTGTGTCATTTGGTCTCTTGTGGAGAGTTGTCTCATTGGCAATCATACCATATCTTCTTTTTTTTATATTTTTTCTAAACCGACTGGCTGAGACTGATTTTTAACAAGCTATTCACAATGTAACAGTCCACATGAAGTAATTTCACCCTACCGGATCCATTATATGCTGACTGAGTCGCCCAAGCCTTACTCTTTGCTCTTACTCCCCAATACCCCGTGTTAAGTGGAGAAGCAGCAAATACCAATACCCAAGTCTTTGGTTTGACCTCAATGCGAGCACAGTTCCAATGGTATTAGGAAAACTAAGAATTTTTATAGTATATATCCTAGTAAAAAAATCCACTAAAAAACAGATAATATTAGATGCATACCTTCTGAAGATACAAGCAAATAATTATATTTTCACATACAAATATATTCAACATGGTGGTATAAAAAGGTAAGATGTTATGAATTAAGACACATTTTCTTGTTTTATAAAAGTATAGATTAATACATAATTAATGTCATACTGATAAAAGTATACTAAACGCTTGTTATATATATCACAGCTTGCAGTCTTTTTGTCACATATTCTTTATTAATGCACATAGTGTCTTTCACCTCTTATCCGTAACGCTAACTGAATATCCTTTGACATTATAGTTGCTCTTTTTGCATGAACTGTACAAAGGTTTGCATCTTTAAACAATGAAGTCATATATGTTTCTGCTGCTTCCTGAAAAGAAAACACAAGTCACACGTTAGCATTAAAAGTCTACATTTGTCTACACGCTGATATATTACTTATTTATATAATGGGTATGTGTTAATGAGACAGCAACCCGACAACAAAAATTAACAAAAAAACACATGTAGAAAGCAACATACAGTCTTTAACAATAAAGATATGTGTCTAAAAATATGTCAAGCTTTAAGGTTTTACTGAGTTTATAAAATTGTGAAAAAAAATCAACAGAAAAAATAGAAGATTTATAACATCAACATTCAATTCTTTAAATAACGATCAATAACAGAACACTTTGAGATATATAACACACAACAACTATCGCGGGTTTTTTCTGATTTGGGACAGGCATCTGGATACGTGGTGAGGTTAAATGAGTTTTCTGAAATTTCAACAGTCCCGTTTTCTTTAATTTCAACAGTAGATTAACAAAATTTACACAAAAGAACATGAACTAAAACCAGTACTGGAAAAGAACTTAACTCTTACGTAACCTTTATAATAGACTGCAAAAAAGGCACAAAACAAATAACAAATTATATTGTGCCAAAGAATGCTTACAGTTACTGAAACATTCAAAGCAAACCCAAACGGCACTTAACCTGTCGTCCTACACTTAATATCGGTTGCTGTGCTTCTAAGACGGTCGATTTACTATACACATGTAGTTGGACAAGTTGCACTACAAGCAAACAATGTTTATAAACAATCGTATGGATAAATTCAAGAACACATCAAATAAGAGAATATAAGTTAAAACACCAAATAAAAAGAAAAAAGGGGGTCCATGCCCTCAATCGCCTGTGTCCCAAGTTAAACGCTTATCAATAATTATCATTTATAACTCCTCATAACATTTACCCTTCTTACAAAATATAGCGTTGATGGTAGAGTGAGTGACCCATATTCGCCGCATAATTCGTTCATTTCCACTTACATCCGACCTACATTCGAATATTTGGAACTTTTTATGTAGGTTTCAGAAATTTTACTATATGAAAAAAATGTTTGATAAAGGAATTATCTTCAAAACATTGGTTAGTTGTTCTAAAAATGAACGCAAACTCAAGAGGAAATCAAGTTGTTCTTGTACCATGGGGGACACATTTTCGCCTCAATGTATGAAATGTCCATCCTCATTATCCTGGTATATTATAAAAACCAATGTTTGTAATTACATGAATAAGCTAAAGATATCATTCTTTTACGATTTTTCTCACAAATATATACTTTAAGACTGCGCATGATTGCCATATAAATCTTACATAATAGCCAAAAATTGTTTAAAATACCTGCGTATTTCTTTGTATGCGCGAATAACCTTGGAAATGGGGTTAAGAGGAATATCAACCGTTCGAACATTACAAACAGCCTTTACCATCTATTTAGGCAAGTACTGGGTAAAGGCACACACATTTTACAGAAAAAATAGCAAAACGGCGAAAATGTGTCCATGGCGAATATGCGCCACCCACTCTATACATTATAAGCAGTTTTATTACAACTTTGATTTATGCTCTTATTTTTTAATTTTTGTATGAAACTTTTACATCTTTATGATCATATATTAAAGACCTCCCCATTAAAAGATCTTAAAAGGCAAAATTCAATTTTATTTTTTGTAACACCAGTGAGGATATGATGGTACCAAATAACTTATAATTACGGTACCAACGTTATCATTTTTAGTATTACATGTAACGCCATCAATGCAGCCGATTGAAATCTTATTTCTGCATTAAGGCCATGAGAAATTTCTTTTACAAGTCGTTGGAATGCCACTTTTGGAATCAGAAGTTCAGTGGTTCTCTGAAATTTTCTTATTTCCGAAAGAACACTATTTCCTGGCCTAAATCTTTTTACTTTTTTAATGCCACCTGTTCTTAATTCATTTTTAAATTGTTGTCTTTTGACTGACAGAAATTGCCGAAGGTAATTGAATTTTGACGTGGCAAGTTTTATCGCTTGTTTGGTTCTTGCCATGATATCATCGTCTGCTTTTATTTTTCGAAGATCACGTGTGCTTCAGTGCTCTCCTTGAAGGAGGTACATTTAACGTACATAAAACAAAATAAATAAAGAGAACCACGTTTACTTAAAACGTTGCAAAATGATAAAGCACAACATAGCAGATTTACAAAAACAAATAAACGAAAAGCAGATGGAGTTGGACAACTTAAAAGAAATGTTGAATACAAAATCGGTACTTATTACACAACAAATTGAACATATATTATATATATAAGAAATAATTTGGGGGATATGAACTTCTGATTATTTTTAGCAGGTCACTGTACAGAGATAAAAAGGCTTACAACTAAAGTGTACTATTTAATACTCTTAATAACATACATGTATTTCTTTAAGTGTGACGAAAATCATATTAAAGGGAAACTTCGCAAAAAAATGAAAAATTGATATTATGTTCATTATGTATAAAAAAGCACAAATGCATAAATATTAAAGTTTTATTCTGCTAGATAAGAGATCACCATCGATTTTAAATTTAGAGTATCAATTCTCCGCATGCGGCCATTTTGACATCCTCCCTGAATAGAAACCACGATATATCTATAAACCACAAAGGACCAAAACAAGCAGTAACCTAACGTAGCCGTAATTGAGTGTCGATATCTTGTCAAGCGTACGGTTGTTTTATCCGACAAGCAAAGTATAAACAGTTAACCGGGTCACAAACAAGATTATAATAGACATGGTTGTGAAACCTTTCCTAACTAACTTGATAAGGAAAATGTAATTATATTTTTTTTTTTTAAATAATTAGTACTATGGTCTGTCGTTTTACAACTGTTTTTTTTTAACTAAGTTTTTGAAACAAGAAATTTTAATGGAAATTAGTTAATAGTCAAAGTTCAAAGTCATAAATAAGTGTTCCGTGTAAAATTGTTTTCGAAAATCTAGTTTGTTCATAATTCTTTTATGTAATAAACTTATTTAAATAAATTCGGACCTTCCCTTATCTGATCACTAGCATGGCTTAAGAAATCCCAGAGGTATTGTGAGGTGACACGTCCAGGTATTCAAGCGATTTCCTGTCGGGCTTTAAAACTCTTATTACACAATTACATAAATCAAGTTCGTGCATCACTTCACTTCTGAGGGTATTGATCAGTGTACACGGCCGATAACTTGTAACTTTCCATTTTGAAACTATCAGGTGTAATATACATCTTTGTCTTGCGTGTCCGATAGTGATACACTAGTCATTACTAAACTCATACGCTTGTTTATAAATAACCTTTCTGGTGTAAAGAATGATATTTATGAAAATCTAAATAATTCCAAAAAAAAAGATTTGATAAAATAAAAAATCTATTTACATATTTTCCAAGGGTAAATTGGGGAAAATGTAAGTATATACTCTTTGTCAATAAGTATGGACATCTTGAAACATACAAATATTGATTTAACAAAATGTACGCACTTGTCGATCATTGGTTTAAACGCCTAGATAGAAGGTTACGGAACTATAGATAGTCGCAATTTAGAATATATACATGTAAATTGAATATACGAGAGAAACATCCAGAACCAATCTGATTTAAATACAGTTCGATATCTAACTTGCTTTGGTTCATCGAAGTTATGGACACAGTAAAATCACAGATTTATTTTTCAATAAGATTATTTTGAACAGTTTAAGAAATTCGTCATCATCACAATTGTTGGGTATAATGTATAATAATGTGAACATGGTTCTAAAAGTACCTGATGTCAATTTTCCTGTTCCGACATACATGTAATACATATGCCACTGGACGTACACTAATGATCCCCAAAAAGCCTATTTGAAGAAATAAAGAAACTTCACTGCGGATAGACTGATAGTAGTTGTATTAACGTCTGGTCAGCTAGAGGGTTGATTAATTTATTTAGTTAGCTTGTGGTGGAAATAAACCATTCCCAATATTGCACTTATGCATAAAATATCAAATGAGAGTAATATAAGAGAAAATATAAATACGAAAAGTCGCATATCTGGTATAAAAAGTCTCACCATGAACTATAGGATTTTACGTACGATTGTCATTCTTAATCGAAATAACGGACAGTCATTTAAATACATGCATGTACACTGTGATAAAAAGGGGTGTCGCAGTTGCATAGTATTCATCATAAATCTATTTCAAGTTTATACTTTCCTGTTATTTTTATAAGTTAACGCAGAGACATGTATACATCTCTAGCTAACGACAAACAACTATATAAATATCTGAATCTGATGTGATTTACCGTTCATGTCTTTTTTTTTTTTTTTTCTTTTCTTTTTTTGTTATTTTGGCAGGAATATATACATTGTAAGATATACTGTTCCCAGGTTTGGGGAGGGGGTGGGGGGGTTGGAGTTCATGTTATCAAAACTTACAAAATAAGAACGGTGTATTTATGAATTTACAAGAAGAATTCTGTTCTTGGGCGTAGTTTTCTTCTTTTTTTTTAGTTCAGTGATTTAAATTGAGAAAAAAAAATCTAGTCAAAATTTAAATTAAATCGTTCCGGCAATCCCCCACCTAAGACGCCTCTAAAATAATGAATGGTCATGCTTCACAATCATCAGAATTTTCGTTGCATTGGTATATTCTGTATCAGTAGTGATTCACCTCGACATTTCCGGGTATAACAGAGCTACTTGTATATTACCTGTATGTGGTTAGGTGATCTTAGGTGACGTCCCATGAGGTCTTACGTATACAGGTTCACATTTATAATGGTTTCTGATATAACAATTAGGTTTTATGACATTCACACTTCTGCATGTTCTGTATACCAAATTCTTATCTTTTTTTCAGACCGAATGAGGATGTGAATATTTTCCAGGAAAAATATTGAGTATCAAATTAATTTCGGGATTTTTTTCTTTCTTGGTATTAAATCACAGAAATTTAAAGAATATACTGCTTGTCCGTTTTAGGAGTATTCTTGTCAGTTTAAACAGACGTAAATATGTCTCTGGTTTAGAGTGGGTTTATGAATGAATGACAAGTCTTGCAAAGGTACAAGATATAAAGCACATTGAAAATTGATTCCGCCGGTCTTTCTCCATTCAAAAAAGGAAAGTTGACGTTAGATTGATTCTGTTAATTTTTTAAAACATCGTTGGTCAAATAGCTAAAGAATTTATACGTTGTGAGATTTAGAATATTTTAATCAGGGCATTCCCGATTAGGTAAATGTAGATCGCTTTGGACGGACCAAACTATATTAATGTAACTGATAATTTTCTCTGCACATTTAAATAAATATTCAAGGTTACCGATGATAATTTGAAATAGTACAGTTTTGATTTATAAGCTCGTTTTCGTGAGCCATTTTTATCTATAAAATTATTTAATTGAAAGTAATTCAGAATTTCGATGTAACAACAAAATGATCACCTATTTATTAAAAAATTGAGCTAACGCAAAATATTAAAAAATATATAACGGCGATTCAGTTATTTTGCCACCATATTCCTCCCCAAATAAGAAAAAAAATATCCTGTCTCAAACCCGCACTTCTATTTTATCCTTTTTTTCCCCATGTTTTTCATACTTACAACGGTGAACCCTTGAGGCCAAACAAAACTCTTGTTAAGATCAAAAGATTAAAATTACATAATGCTAATCTTTTAATAACCGTGAATTTAACCACGCCTTTACCAGGTGGTGTCAGTATAATACACATGCATTGTATTTACACAGTACTAGACTGAAGCAAGGATTTGTATAGTAAGACAAATCCTTGACTGAAGTAATAGGTGAGAATACGAACATGCATTTTTATTACACTATCAGATATATATGTTTGTTCAACATATCCGTCGGAAAAAAAATCATCAAAACATTCTATTGTATGATTTACTTTTATTACTATATAATCATATCAGAAATCCTTAAAATATAAAAGGTGCATTTTAATTTTAAAAGTTGCACGGCTGATCACTTTTATTTCTGAATTATTAGTTGGTTAATAGCTACGCCAAAAGTCGTCGATGCGCTTTAAATCGCATTATAAGATGATTAACGAACAAGACTTAAAATGAGATTAATCCACTCCCGGCATGCAAAAAGACTTAAACTACGTCACAGAAGTCAGGAAGTTCGAATAAATAAAATTAATAATTCCCAATTTTCTTCTTTATTAGTGTTCATATCCAGATAAAACTTGGTGAATATGTTTTTTATGGTATTATGAACATAATAAGATGATAAGTGAAAAATCGCGAATTTTCCCTTTAAGCTTCATTCTTAGCTTTCTAATTTTTGGGTTTGAGCTTTTGAAGGAAAAAGGCCCACAGACACATCTAATTGATAAATATTATTTTCATTACTAAAGGTAAACAAATTTCCATGCACACCAAAATGATGATATCTTTATATAGTGACTTTAACAGATAGGGCATAAATACACCTTATCGCTATTTAGTCCAATCCGGAAAAAACAGTCATTTAGACAACTTCCTGTTTGGGTCAACAGGGAAAACAACAAAGGTCATCAGTAACGAGCTGAGGGAGGGAAAAATTTAGACAGCGATCAATACGAAACTTTGATAGATTATGATCCACTTTTTCGAAACTCAAATTATAGTCCAAAAAAAAAATTTTGTTTGAAGTATTTACGATGTTTTAAACAGGTCTCATTAAAAAGTATCATGCATGGTGCATTGTTTAAACAGGGTCCCAGATAGCTTCAACTGGATGAAAAAGTTGTGTCATTTTAGAACTTATCCGGAATGGAATAAATAGCGATTAGGTGTATGGGAATGTATTTGACGTTGTGAGTTATGTGGCATATGTATTTTTCCATTGAAGTTTTTTTTTATGTTTTTTCCCCAGGAATTTGTCAATGCAAGTTCAACTGTGGAAGCATTAGATTGTTTAGAAAAAAGAGACAATCTTAACAATGAACAAATTGGTAGATACAGTCGACAGTTAATATTGCCAGAGATTGGAGTAAAAGGTGAATCATAAATTTAATTATTATACTTCACGTAAAAATGCAATATTTTGATTGGCTTATACGAGGGTGTTAATTTACTCTATTCTATGGAAAATACTCTATTACCCTTCACGGAGAATCTTGATCAAGTGTGCGCTTTATTGAATACGACTCTATCCTATGGCAAATATTCTATTACCCTTCACGGAGACGCTTGATCAAGTGTGCGCTTTATTAAACACGGATGGTTGTTATGTACAAGACGTCATAGTTTATTACTTTGAATTTGAAATTTAATTGACAGTAATAACAGAACATTCAGTATAATAAATTAAATAACACATATCTGAGAGGGTGATAGAGCAGATTGTTACCCCTCGAAAAAGACATTGTCAACCTCGGCTTCGCCTCAGTTGACAATGTTTTCTCGGGGTAACAATCTGCTCTATCACCCTCTCAGCTATGTGTTATTTATATATTATTAAAAACTTCAGACTTCAATAGTGCTTGTTAAAAAACAACAAAAAAATCTTTAGGGTAGGCACTAAAATTAGAGTGGGTAGGGTTGGTGGAAATACATGCACCTTGAAATGGAGCCTAGGTATGTAGGATTAAGATGCATAAGACAATCGTTCAATGTCACATTTTTTTTAAATGCAAACAAAGTAAAATTACCTTAGATACCATATACCATATACCAAAGAAACAATGATTTTCTTGTTCTACATCTTAAAAGTCAATCTAAAGAAGTACTCTTTGACATTCATCCTACAATTGAACAGACAGTGAAATCACATAATCATGATAATTTTTCTTCATACAGGACAGTTGTCATTAAGCAGTAAATCAGTTTTGATAGTGGGTGCAGGAGGTTTAGGATGTCCTTCAGCTATATATCTAGCTGCAGCAGGAGTCGGTAAGCGTAATGATATTATTATACAGGTATGAGGCTAGGATGTACATGTATAAGGACCTTAAGTTATTTCACATTTCAGAATATTTTGTTGCCTTTAAGTCTAAAACTTGTGCCTAGCATATGTCTGTTGTCCTTTACACTGTACCTCATTCTCATGGTTTAATGACTGCTTACAAAACTGTTTTTTTCATAAATGATTTTTCAGTTATAAGTTATATGATATCTGTATCTGGCATATATTATCATTGAAAGAAATACATGTCATCTGATAGGGTTCACCATTCACCCTATCTTTTATGGTTCAGTGATTATTGTTAAATTTTTGTGTTATTAAAGGTCTGGTCAGTTTTTCGAAAAAATGATATATAATAAAGAGATTTGGTATGATTGGCAAGATTGCAACTAACCAACAGAGTCCAAAAGACATGGATTTAAGCAACCATAGGTCACCATAGGTCTTTCAACAATGAGGAAAACCCATACTGTAAGGTCAACTAGAGAAGATGTTGACATGACAAAATATGAAGCAATTCAAACAAAAAATCAACATATTAAGCTTATTTTGATTGATATTGTTAAGTTTATCTGTAGTAAGACCTTGATCATTAAGACTTTCAACTAAAAACTCAAGCATAAAGCAGTAAAGCAGGCTAGACATTTCAGAATGAGCACTCTTATTTCATACATTTAAACATTTATTTCTCCCATATTGTTCATATGAAAAATCTAGAGACAACTTTTTCCAGATTTTTTTTTTTTTTTTTAATTGCTTGTATTTTAAAATGAAATTCAGACTTTTTGTAGGTTTCTATTGTATTAAACAGTCATGACAGTCTCTCAAAAGGAGCCTCTAGCCTTTGTCAGTCTTGTATTATTTTTAATTTTAGTTTCTTGTGTACAATTTGGAGTTTAGTATGGCGTTCATTATCACTGAACTAGTATATATATTTGTTTAGGGGCCAGCTGAAGGACGCCTCCGGGTGCGGGAATTTCTCGCTGCATTGAAGATCTGTTGGTGACCTTCTGCTGTTGTCTGTTCTATGGTCGGGTTGTTGTCTCTTTGACACATTCCCCATTTCCATTCTCAATTTTATCTATGAAAAAAAACCCTTTTATTTATGAAAATGTTGATATTTTAAATTTCAGTAGGAAACAAACATGACATGCTTAAAATAGAACAATTTTTCTTTTAAATTTAGGTGTTTATTTTGTTTAGCAAGATCTGCTTACCTGTCTGGAGTACCTGAGATCACCCCTGGTTTTTGGTAGGGTTCATGTTGCTCAGGCTTTAGTTTTCTATGATGTGTTTTGTATACTGTTATTTGTTTTTGATCATTTCCCTTTTTTTGCCATAACATTGTCAGTTTGTTTTGTACTTTTGAATATCCTTCTTGTATCTTTTGCCTCTCTCTTATTCAAATTAAGTGGTAATTTTGGCATTTGTGTAGCTCAGTGTGAATAAAAGGAGATATGTGGAATATTCTAGCAAGAGTGCAATTCTTTCACACAAGCCATTTAAAGTCAATTAGAGATCATTATACATGTATGATCTTCAAAAGAGAGGTAAAAGATACCAAAGGGACATTTAAACTCATAAGTCAAAAATATACTGACAACACCATGGCAAAAAAAGAAAAAGACCAACAGACAAACAACAGTACACAAAACACAATATAGAAAACTAAAGACTGAGCAACACGAATCCCACCAAAAACTGGGGGTGATCTCAGGTGCTCTTGAAGGGTAAGAAGATCACTGCTCCACATGTGGCACCCGTCGTGTTGCTCATGTTAGTACAAACCCGGTAATAAGTCTATTTCGTTGGGTCACATTCAGGGAAAAGGGAACAAATGTTTTTTTACAAAACATGTCAATTTCTAAATAGCTTAAAGTCTAGAAAACTTGTGGATAGACTTAACAGAGACTTACCATGCCAGTGGTTTCAGTAATGCACTTAATTTTTGTAAACTTATGTAGTTATTAATGTTGTACTGGTCAAATAGGAAAAAATAAAGGAAATGATCCTTTCCATGCAGGATATTTCTATAATATACCCTAACACAAAAATAGCATAATAAAGACTTAATAATTGATTTATCAAGTTTTATCTACTGGTATAATCTTCATTTACTTTGTAGGAAGAATAGGGATTGTAGATTATGATGAAGTTGAATTGAATAATCTTCACAGACAAATTCTACATACAGAAAAAAGAGTAGGAACACCAAAATCTTCATCTGTGGCTTCATCCTGCACACAGTAAGCTTGAAATTTATTATTATTCAATTCAGAGACCCAGTGAGCATTCACTGCATCTAATCATCTTAGCATTTAAAATCTTTCTTTTAATTCAATTAAATTTGTAAAATTTGTCTAGATGTTCTGGCTGCAAAGCACAATCTTTAAACTAGAAACTTCCTTTTAATCAAGGTTTATAGTTTCTTGTCTAAAAATAATTGAATAAATATAGTTATATTTGCTGAATTTATAGTATTCTTGGGTTGTAAAATGCTTTTTCCAGTAGTTGTGATGTTTTTATGCCCAATTAAATGTTACCCTAGTCCGTCCGTCCGGAACGTCCCGAAGTTGGTTTCCGTTCTCTTACTTTAGTTTGCCTCAACCAAATGTTATAAAACTTATACACAATGCCTATTACCACAAAACACAGATCAAGTTCAACTTTTACCGTTCATGAGTTATTAGTATTTTATATAAAGCAATTTAGCATGGCACGACGCCATGCCCTTTCCTTCCGAAAAATTTGACGCCATGTGCCCTTTTGCGTTATCGGGATCTAGACGCAGTTTTCGCTGATCAAAGGGCGACAACCACAACGAAGCATTGACAAAGAGTTGGTTGCATGTTATTTCACTATGAAGACTGAATTTCATGAACATGATTACAGAGTATTTTTTTTTATTGAATTTTAATTGATATAACAACTTTCTTTTCTTTTTTGATATAAAATAAAGTTCTTTTTATTTAGTGCTAGATATTTAGTTGGTAGTTTCTGACAAGATGACTAATATAATTGTGCAACTAAATATGATAAACTTAAACAACTTTGAATTTGAACTGTTACTTTAATTGTATACCCGTGTATGAATTGAACAATATAAAAAAAATAGGATACATATGGCCCTTTTTATTATAGTAAAACCAAACATTGTAGGGCTCTAGCGAACGAGCACTTCTCTTTCAAATCTCACCACTTCTCCCTATCAGTTTCAAAAAGAGAAGTCACTTCTCCCTATGATTCTGAGCCCTGAATATGTGTAAATAACTATTTTATTTATGTGCCCTATTTGGTAAAGTCGACGCGCAAAGTGCCCTTTTTGTAAAAAAATTACCATGCCCTTATTCAGTTCTAGATAAAACACTACCTTTATAAACATAAAAATTGCTGAATTTTTCGTTTCCATTCTCTAACTTTAGTTTGCCACAACCAAATGTTATAAAACATAAACACAATGCTTATTACTACAAAACACAGATCAAGTTCGAAATTGGGTTGCGTCACTTTTACTGTTAATATGTAATGCCCCTTTATAAACATAAAAATTGCTGAATTTTTTGTTTCAATTCTCTAACTTTAGTTTGCCTCAACCAAATATTATAAAACTTATACACAATGCTTATTACCACAAAACACAGATCAAGTTTGAAATTAGGTGGAGTCAATTTTAACATTCTTGAGTTATGCCTCTTTATAAATGGAAAAATTGCTAAATCTGTCGTTTCCATTCTTTAACTTTAGTTTGCCTCAACCAAATGTTATGAAACTTATACACAATGCTTATAATCACAAAAAAACGGTCTTAATTATGTGAATCCTGCATCTGTATGTGGAAGTTGACTCATGCATATTTACAAGCGGGGGCATCTGTGGCCTATAGGCACATTCTCCATTTATTTGTATTAAACATGATTTTTTTTCTGCAGAAAAACAAAAAGCATTATGTAGGGCTATAAGGGCAGAGGGTTGCACATACAAGGGAGAGGGGAGCTGCACTTTTATTTTGGACCAGCTAGGACACTGCTATGGAAACATATTCTTGTTATACGCCCATTAGGCCAAAATAAATAATACATGTGTTTCCGCTAAAGTGCTGAAAAAAAATAAGGTAGGTAGGCAATATCATTTTATTTTACAAACATTTTTTAGTTGGTTACTACTAGGGAATCAGTCTGACTTCAACAGTGCTTTATCCAAATTGGCATAAAAAGTGTTAGGGTAGGCACTAAAAATTAGGGTAGGTAGGGTTAGCGGAAACACATGTATTATTTTTTTTTGCCTTAACAGGATGTATTATGGTGTACAGTTGTCTGACCATCTGTCTGTCTTCAACATGTTGGACAATAACTCAAAAATGCTTTATCCAATTTTCATGAAAATTTCGTGAATTGTTTATATCTATTGACCTGAGCTCCCCTTCGATTTTGATAAATTTTAGATTTTACGTTTCAGAGTTAGGGCTATTTCATTAAAATATATGTGGGAGGGTAGGAAGGGAAGTTTAATTATTGAATGTGGGTCATGGGTCTTTTTTCAGTATGCGTCTATTACCATTATGCAAAATTATCTAAAAAATGGTTCTTGGTTGTAGGGATATTTTGAAAGTCCCTTCCTACCTGCCCACATACATTTTAATGGAATAGCCCTTATGGGATCTTATTCATATAAAAGGGGGATTTTTCAGTTTTTGCACAATAACTCAAAATTGTTTGAGCACTTTTTACGAAACTTTGGTGACTGGTTTTTATCTGTCTTACACCACCAAATGAAAATTTAAAATTTTAAAAAGTTTGAATGAAATATTTCTATTCAACATTTTATGTTTGGTACAAATGATGTGATTTTCTTTGCAGGTTAAATTCACTTGTTGAGTGTATTCCTTATCATCTGCAATTAGACAGTACAAACGCCCTGAGACTGATAAAGCAGTATCCTTTCCTTGTTTTTGTTAAAAAAAATTAGATAGAAGTGGTAGAAACTATGCAGTCTTTAGAAAATCTTTATTTAAGACAATTGTTGGTAAACTTCTATATAGCATTTATTTAATACAGAGATGTACCTATTTAGTATTGAAAATAGATTTTAAAAATGGGAAAATGTTATCATCTATAAATTAAACCTTGACATGGATGTAGATATGATGTTGTATTAGATGCCACAGACAATGTAGCTACTAGATATTTGTTGAATGATGCCTGTATATTAGCCAACAAACCACTTGTATCTGGTAGTGCTTTACGATTTGAAGGACAAGTAAGTGGCAAAATTTCTTTTTCAAGGATAACTATTAATTTAAAATTCCCCACGGTCACTCACTTAATATTAGGGACATGGGAAATTTATATTAAGATACTCATGTGAAAAATTAAAAGATGAAATGGAAATAATATTGATTCTACCACAATACCCCACTATGTTATTTAATCTCTCTAGATGGTTTAATTTTCAGACTGGAAAGAAAATGAAATTTGAAACTTTAGCTTGGGAAAATGCATTTGTATTACAAAGAATTGGTTACAGTTGTAGAATCTGTTTCTGTAATGACTTATTGAACAAGTTGTATAGGATCATATAAAGTATAATATTTTGAAATATTTTGTTGGGAAATCATGTAAAACAATTTAATCAATGTATGGCCAAATTTCAATGCACTTAAAATTGGTAAAACCCTTTTATCCAGTAGTTTTTTTTTATAGAACTTTTTTTTTCATTTTTCAGTTAACAGTATATAACTATGAAGGTGGACCATGCTACAGATGTTTATATCCTAAACCACCTCCACCAGAAACTGTAACCAACTGTTCTGATGGAGGAGTTCTAGGAGTCAGTAAGTTCATTTCATTACCTCCTTTGCAATATAAAAATTGATTGCCAATGAGACAAGTATCCACCAAGAACCAAAATACAAAGATGTAAACAATTGCAGGTCAAAATACAGCCTTACATTTGTTGTCTGTTAATCCATTTAACCCAAACATCTTAGCTTAATTCTTATGTTCTTTATCTGACATTATACATAGGCTGACAAAAAAAAAAAAAAAAAAAATTGTTGAAAAGCAAGTTTATTTTGGTATGAAATTTCAATTTTACAATAATTTAGTAATTAGTCATGGTAAGAGGATGATACTTATTCATACAAAGTTCTAATGTTTAAAGGTTGAATGCTAAGGTAACGTTTTTGTAAGTCCTGAAAATTTGCTTTATTTGTTGTATGAGCGATATATAAGTTCACAACATAAAGCTATTTTTGTCGAGCCTTCGACTTTAGTCGAAAAAGCGAGACATAGCGATCCTACATTCCGTCGGCGGCGGCGGCGTCCACAAATATTCACTCTGTGGTAAAAGTTTTTGAAATTTTAATAACTTTCTTAAACTATCCTGGATTTCTACCAACCTTGGACAGAAGCTTGTTTATGATCATAAGATAGTATCCAGAAGTAAATTTTGTAAAAATAAAATTCCATTTTTTCCGTATTTTACTTATAAATGGACTTAGTTTTTCTGCCGGGAAATATTACATTCACTCTGTGGTTAAAGTTTTTAAAATTTTAATAACTTTCTTAAACTATCCTGGGTTTGTACCAAACTTGGACAGAAGCTTGTTTATGATCATAAGATATTATCCAGAAGTAAATTTTGTAAAAAAATAAATCCATTTTTTCCTTATTTTACTTTTAAATATACTTAGATTTTCTGCCAGGAAACAACACATTCACTCTGTGGTTAAAGTTTTTAAAATTTGAAAAACTTTCCTATACTATTTTGGATTTGTACCAAAATTGAACAGAAGCTTGTTTATGATCAAAAGCTAGTATCTAGAAGGAAATTTTGTCAAAAAATAAATCCATTTTTTCCGTATTTTACTTTTAAATGGACTTAGATTTTCTGCCAGGAAACAACACATTCACTCTGTGGTTAAAGTTTTTAAAATTTTAATAACTTTCTTATACTATTTTGGATTTGTACCAAACTTGGACAGGAGCTTGTTTATGATCAAATGCTAGTATCTAGAAGGAAATTTTGTTTTCTCTCAGTTAACCAAACTTGGACAGAACCTTCTTACAATCAAAAGATAGTATCAAGAGGAATATTTTTATTGATTTACTTCCTCATTTTTGTTGAGCCTGCAATTAACAGAAAAAGTAGGCGAGACACTGGGTTCCGCGGAACCCTTACAAATTTTTTTGTTATTTAGTTCCAGGGATAATAGGATGTATGCAAGCACTAGAAGCTATAAAGATTTGTGCTGGGATAGATCGTATCCTTATATAGTTGTGAATAGCTGAGCTGTAAGTTCTTCAGATGAAGTTTCATATGAAGAACATTACTTACATATATCGTAATCTTAGGATATTTGTGAGAAATTTTGACACAACAAAATGTTTAAAGGCAAGTGTGCTTGATTATGTGGGAGTACTTCATTCCCAATACAATTTATGTAATTTTTTTGATACAGGAATTAGAAAGTAGTTTTGTGGCTTTTTTGATGTGTAAATATTTTGTGGGTTTTTAAAAAATTGTCAAGTATTTATGGGATTTTGCTGTATCATATTAGTTTATCCCAATTCTTTGCTCATTCAAATGATAATTGTATCTATAAGTTTCAAATTTTTATAGTCTTCGATTTCTTAACATGATTTAGCATCATTTAGCCAAAAGTTATTACTGTTTGATGGCCTGCAAGGTTCATTTAGATCTATTAAAATCAGGGGGAGACAACCAACATGTCCTGTATGTGGAGATACTCCTAGTATAACAGAATTAATAGACTATGAACAGTTTTGTGGAGCTAGAGCAAATGATAAGGTAAAAATAAGTTAAAACTGTGTCAATTTTACATTACTATAAAATATCTCTTTGTAATGAAATGTTTTTAATTCTTTGAAGAAATATGTGCAGAAGTAATCAAATATTTTAATTTTAAAACTAGTCTTTTAGTAGAGAATTCAATCTCAGGGCTACTTAGCATTTGAACATTCATATGGGTATGCATTAAATGTATAAAAAGTGAAGAAAACCCATACAGCAAATTTGATAGTTATATCTATTTTACTACAAATAGTGAATGTGAAAGAAATATTTATCATAAAGTAAACATTTTGTTCAATTCTTTGAAAATGTATATCAGGACTTATTTTCAGGATAAAGATTTAACTTTACTGAAGGATACAGACAGATTATCACCAAAGGTAATGCCACAACCCATGTGGCTCCTACATTGTCAAATCTGACCTGCAACTCGTGAGGGTTTGGCAATGACCTTGAGACCTGACGTCTCATTTAAAAAGGATCTGTGACCTTTAAATATGTTCAAAACTGTGAATCAGATCAGTTTAGGACTGTAAAGTTTGTTTAAGAGTGACCTGAGGCAATTTTAAACATGACCTTGTGACCTAAGGGGGATACACTATTGGGGCCCCATACCATAGATGTTTAAAAACTTGTACTTTTAAGCTTAGATAATGGTGAAAAAAGGCAAATATCATTCTGTTGTTAGTTTTAATTGTTTTTGTTAAATAGGATGAATTTTTGAATTTTTATCTCTTGCTGCATCAGTCTTTGAAATATGCTTGATCCATGGCTCCTTCTAGAGCTGCCCCAATTAGCATGTTAGATTCAAATGTAACTTTAGAAGATGTTAATCACATGCATGTATTTGTTACAATGAGAAATTAGAAGGTCAATGTCTGAAAAGAGGACAATAGCCTCTTCTTTGGAGATTGCTATTGTATTTAAGCCAATGTAACATATTTCAGGACAAATATAATGAGAAAATAAATTGAACAATATTCATAAATATTTGTTGTGGTGTAAAGATAACTATTCTTTTATTATTTTGAAAAGAAAAATGAAATGAAACATGCAGAGTGTAAAATTTTTATCAATTACGGTACAATGTGGTCTACAGTAGTTGTTTATCCATTGATAGGATTACAAGATAATGCTAGACACCAAACAAGAACATGTATTAGTGGATGTGAGATTACCAGTGGAATTAGACATATGTCAGCTTCCAGCACAATCATATAGTATCCTTTTGAAGTTTTATTACATAGTACAAGGTGAAAGTTGTAGTTAAAATGTTGTTTGTTTTTTAATGTTAAAATTTTTTTTGGAAACTTAATTTTTTAGCTATGAGCTTTAGCCATCACTTGGCGTCTGTCGTCGTCTGTCGTTGTCGTTGTCATCCGTCTGGTGTAAACTATTTCAAACATCTTCTCCTCTGAAACTACTTAACCAATTCCAACCAAACTTAAGCTGAATGATCCTTAGGGCATACCTTCCAGTGTTCTCCCCAGGATTTTTGGATAGCACCAGGGTAACGTGTGTGGACTTCTTGGTGAAATATTTCATGCAATCAGTTGTGTCGTGTTGCGTCGCGTCGCTTAGCTCAAGTTAATGTAGTTTTTATGTCTCTTGTTTTGTTTTAACACTGTGGTACTGTGTTATGTTGACATTGATTCAGAAAATTATTGGTAAAAAAGAAGTAAATCAAAAAACAGTTTGTATACTTTAATATTTTTTTAAAATAAATAAATTATGATTCATAATAAAATATTCATCTGAATTTAAAGTAATTAAATCTTTTGTAAAATCCAAAATCAATAAAAATAAAATATCATTCAAAAGAGAACAAAAATGCTCAATTTAAAAAACTTTCTAGTTTCTAGAAAAAAGTTGTTGTGTGTGAAAGGATTTACGTCATAAGAAGACATAAAATTAACAAGAACAATTGCAAATATTGTTTTATTATTTGAACCACTTTCTATCTTAGATTTTGATAAAAAGAAATTTTTCATAAATTTTAAAACATTTTGCCTTAGATTTCATGTAAATATTAAACTTTCTTGTCTTTGGTGATAATCAAACATAGATACAGACTTTATACTGCCCTAAAATCTGAATCTTTATTTGTCATGAACCATTTAAAAAGAATTCCTAAATCTATAAATTTATCTTGGGTCTATAAGTAACCATATTAAATGTCAACAACTAAGTCTCCCTATTTTCCCACCTAAATGACAGGAAGTAGATATTAATAGATTTAACATGTGCTTATGGATAAAATTGTAAGATTACTTCTGTTATTCATTAATTATGGATATAGATATCCAGTTTGAAGGTACAGTCATGCATTTTATTTATAAAATATAATAGATTGCAATTAATTGTAAATAAACTTGAATATTCTACGTGAACTAACTGGGTCATGTGATATGTACAGACAGCTACTACAGTTTGAAACCCGACTATCATGCAATAACTATGTCATAATTAAAGATAATATTGGCCATGGTTTAATCAGAGACATATAATATAAGAATTGGGAAATGTATAGTTGTCCATTATACGTAAAGAGCCACCATTATGATGTACAAAAAATGTACCTATCGGGTCAAGACACTGTTTGTGTACAAAGTATTTGCCGACTTGTCACAGGTCAGTGCTTGGGTGGAGAGTGAAGCCATAAAATAGTTATCTGTGATCATAAAGTTATGAACTCTTAATTAAAACACAAAAGAATCATGTTACAAGTGTTAATTACATCGATTAAATCCAATCAACAAGGTTAACTTCATAAGGTAAATCGATCACGTGGTGTAAACAATCTGTGTTGAACTGGTTTGAACTGGTCAAATTTCACCTGGAATTTTATACCGCACGGAAAAGATTTAATAAGTCGTTTAAAACTTTACCGATTTACGATTTTTTAACTGAAAATTTTAGCACCACGGAGAAAAATTATACATCGCGGGCCCGCGGTCCTTTAAGGGCCTGGGGAGAACACTGCCTTCCAACCCTCCCGTTTTGAGCTGGAGACTCCTGCTCAAATGGCGAAATTTCGGAAATCTCCCACTTGCCGGTCCGCTCCCGCGCGGGAGTATAAAATCTCCCACTTTCGGATATTTTACCCTGATTGACCAGTCTGACATCATTAATTATGTTTTGTGTCAATGATTAGGGAAGCTGTTACCTGTAAATCACAGACCTTGTGAAATTAAATGGCTTCACTTGACAGCTTGGGTGTCAAACATAATACTAATTAACGATCATTAACGACTTGTCCCTCTAGCTTTGTGTATTTTGAAAACACTTCACAGAAATTTTGGGTTACTTCCCCTGTTTAATCTTGTTTTAAGTAACCCTCCTCAAAATAATGTGAATTGATAAAAGAATATAAATTAAATACAAATTTAACAAAGAATCATAAAAGGATTGTAATTTTATGATTTTGAATGTCTTAGGACAAATAAAAAAAAATATTTTGAAAATCATTTAAAAGATCTATACTTCTATTCAATGTTTAAATTGAAATTTATAAGAAATGTATTGAACAAATTCCTCAGTCTGGCCTGAAGGGACACAACTATTAGATGAAAGATCTGACATAGGGTAAAAGTGTTCATAAGGTAAAGTTCTATCAGCCCTGAAATTTTCAAATGAATCTAATAACCCATTGTTGGGTTGCTGCCACTAAATTGGTAATTTTATGGAAATTTTGCAGTTTTTGTAGAGCCTGCAACTTTTGTCGCAGAAAGCTTGACATAGGGATAGTGATCTGGCGGCGGCAACATTAGCTAACTTTTTAAAAGCTTTATATTTTAGAAGGTGGAAGACCTGGATGCTCCATACTTTATATATAGATGCCTCATGTTATGAAGTTTCCGTCAGTCACATGTCCAATATCCTTGACCTCATTTTCATGGTTCAGTGACTACTTGAATAAAAAGTTAAGATTTTTTGTAATGTTAAATTCTCTTTTATTATAAGTAATAGGATAACTATATTTGGTATGTGCGTACCTTGCAAGGTCCTCATGCCCGTCAGACAGTTTTCACTTAACCTGGACCTCATTTCATGGATCAGTGAACAAGTTTAAGTTTTGGTGGTCAAGTCCATATCTCAGATACTATAAGCAATAGGTCTAGTATATTCCGTTTATGGAAGGACTGTAAGGTGTACATGTCCAACTGGCAGGTGTCATCTGACCTTGACCTCATTTTCATGGTTCAGTGGTTATAGTTAAGTTTTTGTGTTTTGGTCTGTTTTTCTTATACTGTATGCAATAGGTCTACTATATTTGGTGTATGGAATGATTGTAAGGTGTGCATGTCTAGCTGGCAGGTGGCAAACGTGGCAAAATTAAGTTTTTGAGTTTTGGTCTTTTTTTCTAATACTCTATGCAATAGGTCAACTATATTTGGTGTATGGAAATATTTTATGATCTATATGTCAGTCACGCAGGTTTTATATGACCTTGACCTCATTTTCACGGTTCATTGCTCAGTGTTAAGTTAAGTGTTAACTATATTTGTTATATGGAAGAATTGTTAACTGTACATGTCTGCCTGGCATGGTTCATCTGACCTTGACCTCATTTTCATGGTTCATTGGTCAATGTTTAGTTTTCTTGGTTAATGTTAAGTTTATGTGACAGTTGTAAAGCTTTATATTTAGGACTATCAACATAATATCAATGATTAGTAAAGAAGGTGAGACATTTCAGTGTGTGCACTCTTGTTGGTTATTATCTTGAAAGTATTAATGATAAAGATAAACTGTAAACAGCAAAAATGTTCAGCAAAGTAAGATCTACAAATAAGTTAATATGACAAAAATTTTCAAATGTGTCCTTAAGGAGTTATTGCCCTTTAAAGACAATTTTTCACAATTTGTTCATCTAGTTTGCTGACTTTGAAAAATCCTCTCCTTTGAAACTGCTGAATCAATTTCAGCCAAACTTGGGCTGAATGAGTTTCAGAGTATCTAGTATAAATTTTGTATTTTATTTTCTTGTACGTCAAGAAACATAGCCACTATGGCTAAAATGGAACATAGGGGTAAAATGTATTTCTTTGCTTTTGAAGAAAATATGACAGATACAAAGAACATCTCAATGGAATTTTTAAGCCACTCATTAATATATATTAAAAAGCAAAAATAATCATTGATGAAAGATTTAAGCAAAAAATTACAGGTGAGTGATTCAGGCTCTTGAGAGCCTCTTGTTTATTAAAATCAACTTTTAACAAATTTTCTGTATACAGATACTATATATTCATTGACGAATTTTTTTCACAGGAGCCAAATTTTTAAGTGTTATTTTTAGAAGAATAAAATGCTTAATTATAGCAGCATACAAAATGAATGATTTTTATAAGACCCTTCATGTTTGTTTTCATTCATTACATCCTTCTCTCTTGTTTTCTGGACATTAAGCAACCAACAATCAATCAATCTCTCTTGTTTTCTGCATGTTTTTAACTGAAATGCCTTAATGGATTGATGGAATAAATATCAGATATGGAAATACTGTATACCCTGTAATCATATTGTAAGAAATTATAGAACTAATTTGAATTTTTGCAGAAGTTGTAGTCCAGGAACAGAAAGTTGCATAAAAATATCAGTATCTCTCGCTGTTTTTTGTAATGCCTAGTTTTAAGAAGTTACTGATCAAGTTTGGTTTTACAGAAGTTGTTGCCCTTGGACATAAAAAGACTGCTAGAAAATACAAGTTTACTACCATCTTAATTTGTTATGCCTGAATCAATTGAGTCATATCAAAAAGAAGTTAAGATAAAGTTTGAGGGTCATTACATTGACCAATGTTAGCCAAAGTTGTGGCCCTAGGACAAAGAAAATTGCTTGCAGATACAAGTTTTATGAGAGAGAAAAAAAAATGAATTCCTAAGAGGTTTGGTTTGGTTGGAAGTGTTGAAAATGTTTGCACTATCAAAAAAATAGTTTGAACTGATTATTTAAAAGAGAGATTTTCCAATTACATAGGTATCAACTCTCTCCTAATATGAATTGAAACTTTACCAGATCTCCTTTTTAAATCATCCATGTCCTTGCAGATATGGTTCATTGTATTGCAAAAGTTCTTTTGTGATACTGAACCTTTTATTTTCATGTGACAATAAAATTAACCTTACTGATTCCATTGATTTTTTATTTCCTAATTTTATATTTATTGAATATACTAGTATTTGAACTACCGATATTGTAAATCCATTATTATACATTAGGTACCCTTTTAGGCTTTTGTAGGCCTGTCATAGATGGGACATTTTATGATATACCATTGTCTGTCCTTCCCCTTTTGTTCCTCTGTCTGTTGCATATTAGTTGTGCAAAATCTAGAGAACGCTTAGATGAACTTTGAGAAATTTGTTTGTTTTATTTGAATGGAAGGAAGTAAGCTGCCTTTTGAAAATTGTCTGGTTTATCATTCCAGAATTATAGGAGTTTTTCTGTCAGATTTAAGTAAATTTTCACATGTCACACACTTACTAGAATATTCTTGAACTGATTTACTTGAAAATTTACACTATTGTTGAAATTGTTATCAGTAAGTCACCTTGATCTTTTTAGTCATTTCACAACTATTGGTCATTAACTGTAATATTTAAGGCTAGTTTTGCACTAACTTGAGTATGCTTGGATCAATTTAATTCATACTTTTATATTATTGTTAGGATTGGTGATAAAACACTTCCTTTTGATTTTGATTTTTTTTTCAAATTGTTACATAGAGGATTATTGTTTGTCTGCTGATTGTGGCTTATCATTGAAAAATTTCTAAAATTGGAGCAAAATATTACATCCTCATAGTTTATCTTTTTATCTATAATGAATGATATTTGTATTATTTCCTTATCTAGTATTATCAGATTTACCAATGAGTTCTGTAGATAAAACGGACTGTATACAAGCTTTAGAAGAAAGATTAAAAAGCATTATTCCTGCAACTGGAGACCCCCTTCCTGTAGTGGTTGCTTGCAGAAGGGGAAATGATTCACAAGTTGTCACACAAAAATTAAAAGACAAATTTAAAGATTTGAACTTGGACATAAAGGACTTGAAAGGTGGATTAGTTGGATGGACTAGACATGTGGATAAAAATTTTCCTATATACTAAATAAACTTTATTACAGCAACAATTTTATTTTATCTTCATTTTGAATGTTTACACCAGGAAGTTTCGCACCACCCTGCTTATTCTCACAATCCAAATTATAATAACATATGATATTATTAATGACTCCAAAAGTATGATTCTGTTATTGACAAGACCATAGGCATAAATGAATTAAAAAGGATGTAAGAAAATCACAAATTTACATTTTTTGTCAAATGAGAGAATGTCTTGGGTACTAAAACTGGACAAAGTTTTACCATTAGTACTTAAAAGTGAAAAGTTCATTAGCAATATTTCTTTTTAGAAAACTAATATGTCAGTGGTTACAATTAACACAAAAAAAAACCAATTTCTATTTGGCAACGATTGATTGATTGATTGGTGGTGTTAAACCCCACTTTTATTGGAGGAAACCTGAATGCCCAGAGAGAAACATTAACCTTGGGTAGGAAAACTGGCAATCCTAGTCAATTAAGATCCGAGTCAAACACACTTGCTTAGTGCTGGGTTCAAACCTCAGTAATAGCAGGCTAGGCTAGTAATACTGTAGATGAACTTCTTAGACCACTTTGCCACTTTATGCATAAAAAGAAACTGTATACAGCCAAAATGTAAAACTTGTTTTTACATTTTTGTGGTTTCTTCCCTTTTTGAACCAGTTTTCAATTTTGTAGCCTTTAATCCTCTTCAGTGGCAAGAAAAGGTCATTCGTTAAAGAATTCTAAAGCAGTAATGCCCTTGTAGGCATTTTCATCTACTTGTACTAAATTCTATGCACCACATGTTTCAGGAATAATCTTCACTAAATAAATGTATACTAGCTGCAGAACCATAGCTGCATTGGTCCATGGGATATTTTTTGATACACACAATTTTATTTGTGTCAGAATGATTAAAGTAAAAAAAAAAAGGAGATGTGTTATGATTGCCAATGATGAAATGGATGTAAGCAATTAAAGGCAACTGTACAGCTTTCAACAATGAGATAAACCCATATCATATAGTCGGCTATAAAAGACCCCGACATGGAAAATATGAAACAATTCAATTGAGAGAACTAGTGGCCTAATTAATAACAAAATAATTTACAAAAAAAATATGACAGACATGAACCAACTACAACCACTGAACTATAGGCACATAAAGAATGTGGTGAGGTTAAACATGTTTGTGAGTGCTCATTCTTCCCCCTAACCTGGGACAGTGATGTGTGTAACAGCACAACATAAGAACAAACTATAATAAAATGCTCCGCTGGGCGCAGCTTGATACGACCGCAGAGGTCGAACCCTGAACAGTTGGGGCAAGTATTGACACAACATTCAAGCTTTATACAGCACTGAATTTGGATTGTGATTAAATATTTGACACAGCATAGGTTTCTGACACAGAATGAATGTGGTCTAAGAACTTAAAAAATTTTAATTTACCTATTCAAACCATATCATTATTTTTTGCTTTTATATATAAATCAGAAATAACCAATTTAAAATGGAAAATTTTAAAGAAAAAAAAGGAAAAAAAAATCCCCCTCCCCAAAAAAAATTTTTGGAACCCCCTTATGATTCATCACCCCCAAACTCAATCCAAACCTTCCCTTTTTGGTATGGTACCTTGCAGTACAATTTCAGAGAGATCCATACACTTGAACACAAGTTATTGTCTGGAAACTAGAAAAATGCTTGTTTTGGCCCCTTTTAGGCCCCAAATTCCTAAACATTTAGGGCAATTACCCCCAAACTCAAACCCAGCTTTCCCTTTGTGATATGGAACCTTGTAGTACAATTTCATAAAGATCCATACACTTACACACAAGTTATTGTCCTGAAACTAGAAAAATGCTTCTTTTTTTGCCCCTTTTTGGCCCTTAATTCCTAAAATTTTGAGGCAATTACCCCCAAAATCAATCCCAGCTTTCCCTTTGTGGTATGGTACCTTGCAGTACAATTTCAGAGAGATCCATACACTTGAACACAAGTTATTGTCTGGAAACTAGAAAAATGCTTGTTTTTGGCCCCTTTTTTGCCCCTTATTCCTAAACGTTTTGGGCAATTACCCCCAAACTCAATTTCAGCTTTCCCTTTGTGATATGTAACCTCGTAGTACAATTTCATAAAGATCCATACGCTTACACTCAAGTTAATGTCATGAAACTAGAAAAATGATTGTTTTTTGCCCCTTTTTTGGCCCCTAATTCCTAATATTTTGAGGCAATTACCCCCAAAATCAATCCCAGCATTCCCTTTGTGATATGGAACCTTGTGGTACAATGTCAGAGAGATTCATACACTAACACACAAGTTATGTCTGGAAGTTACAAAAATGCTTATTTTTGGCCCCTTTTTTGGCCCCTAATTCCTTAACTGTTGGTACCATAACCCCCAAAATCAATCTCAACCTTCCTTTTGTGGTATTGAACCTAATGGTAAAATTTCATAGAGATCCATTCACTTAAACTAAAGTTAGAGTGCGAAAACCAATGTGTCTTCGGACGACGACACTGGGCGACGACGCCAACGTCATACCAATATACGACCACAAAATTTTTTTGCTGTCGTATAAAAATTAGTTGAAAAAGGCTCAACTCATCAGATCGATACAGAGCAGAAAAAAATCAAACAAAACCACAGACCGGACGTGGCGGGACATTTATCCATCTCTCATCCCAAATAACAAAAAAGAAACTTATGTACAGATCTGAGCGTACTCCCAGTTACTGACAGCTAGTTTAAAGCCAATTACAACAAAGAAAAAAAATCATGTATCTAAGACTAAAATATCAATCAGTTCACATCCAACATCCAATGGATTTAGTGTAAAGCTGTCATTAACAGTCAGAGAATAACATGACCTTTCTTTTCTCCTTTTTAATAAACCATAGAAAGAAGATGCATGTGATGTTACACAAAGTATACCCCATTCAATATTAGATATTGACGAAAAATTCCATACTTGGTGGGTATAAGAATTCAAAGTATTATCAAATATCAACAAGATTGCACACACTGAAATGTCTTTCCTGTTCTACTAATGAATATTGAAATTTTTGTTGAAAGTTTGCAATATTAAGGTTTTACTACAAGTATCACATAAACTTTACATTATCAATGACCCATGTCAATGAGTTCATGGTCAGATGAACCCTGCCAAACAGACAAGTTCACCTTATAATCAAACTATACACCAAATATAGTAAGCCTATTGCTTACAGTATCCGAGAAACAGACCTAATTATAAAAACTAACATTGCCCTATGAACCATAAAAATGAGGTAAAGGTCAGTAACCCTGCCAGACAAAATGAACATCATGCAATCATTCCATACACCAAATATAATTTACTTATTGCTTATAGTATCTGAGAAACAGACCTAACTAGATATCATTGAGATGGGAGCCATCTCTGTGGGCCCCGCTGTGAATAATGTGTGGTAAAAAATTTGTATCTTTATCATTGGACATGGGGTTGTCAAATGAAACCCAAGTTTTTTCCCTTGACCTTTGACCTAGGAAGTTGTACATAAATTATGACACACCCTCTGGTGTTGGTTTATATACATATCAAGTATAAACTTTGAAATCATAACGGTTCTCAAGATATAGAACAGATACGATCTTTACCATAGGACATGGGATTGTCAACTAAAACCGAATTTTGACCTTGACCTTTGACCTAGGAAGTTGTACATACATTATGACACACCCTCTGGTGTTGGTTAATATACATATCAAGTATAAACTTTGAAATCATAACGGTTCTCAAGATATAGAGTGGACACGATCTTTACCATAGGACATGGGGTTGTCAACTAAAACCAAAGTTTTTGACCATGACCTTTGACCTAGGAAGTTGTACATACATTATGACACACCCTCTGGTGTTGGTTAATATACATGTCAAGTATAAACTTTGAAATCATAACGGTTCTCAAGATATAGAGCGGACAAGATCTTTACCATATATATAGGACATGGGGTTGTCAACTAAAACCAAAGTTTTTGACCTTGACCTTTGACCTAGGAAGTTGAACATACATTATGACACACCCTCTGGTGTTGGTTGATGTACATGTCAAGTATAAACTTTGAAATCATAACGGTTCTCTAGATATAGAGCGGAGACGATTTGTTACGGACGGACGGACGGATGGATGGACGGACAGACTGATCACTATAGGGCGGCCGCCATTCGGCGGGGCCCTAATTATAAAAAATAATATTGACAAATGAACCATAAAAATGAGGTCAAGGTCAGATGAATCCTGCCAGACAAAATTACATCATACAATCATTCCATAAACCAAATATAGTTGACTTATTGCTTATAGTATCTGAGAAACAGACTTATTCATGAAAACTTAAAATTAACTAATGAACCATGAACATGAGTTCAAGGTCAGATGGACACTGCCAGACAGACATATTCACCTTACAATCATTCCATCCACCAATTATAGTTTACTTATTGCTTATTGTATCCATAAATGGACGAAACGATGAAAACTTTACATAGACCAATGAACCATGAAAATGAGGTCAAGGTAAGATCAAAGCTGCCAGTCTGACATGCACACCATACAATCATTCCATACACCAAATATAATTTACCTATTGCTTATAGCATCTGAGATACAGACTTGACCACAAAATTTAACCTTTATCACTAATCTACAAAATGATTTTGAAAATGAAGTAAAACCTGTTTGACTGGCATTTAGACCTTGCAAGGATCCCATATACCAAATATAGTTATCCTATTACTCAGATTCACATGACAAGAAAACTAAATATTTTTTCAAACAGTTGAACCATGAAAATCAGATCAAGGACAATGGACACAAACTTCCCAAAATAATACAAGGTATAAAGCAACCAGGTCTTCTACCTTCTGAAATATAAAGCTTCATATAAATAGTTTACACCATTGTCATGGAATTGTAATCCCTAAGTCACGCATTCTGGTCACAGGTGGGGAAAAAATGGCTGTCTAGCAGATCTGAATTTTTTGCGGTCGTATAAAATATAACATGTCAAGTCCATTGAAAATATTAAAAAACAACAATGATAAACTGAATGAAGTTTATTTTGTTACATCTCTGATAAATACATTGTGGTCCTTTCCATATAATTATCCTTAACCGATTCCTATCTTAATGAAAACAAAATGTTTATCACATTACATGAGACAGTAACATAACAGCAACAATAAGCTAACTTTACACTGTAGCAAACTCTTTAGGCCATATAACTACATGTACTATTCATTTTATAATTAATTCAAAACATTATTTTTTTTTCTGTAGATTTCCTACGGATTTTTATATCATACCAAGCTACACAGATACAATAATTCATTTTCTCATAATACTGTATAAGACTTTTTGGTGGAATAAAATAATCGCCAGACAATTTTTTGTCACTTATACATGCAATATTTCTCCACTGTGTGATCTTGCACATATTTAACATAAAAAGATTATAGATTTTAAAGTCCCTTTTGAAATTCAATTTTCCGTTAAAAGTAATGACAAAACCTTTTTATTGAAACATGGTCCACTACAAAGATAGCAGTGAAATCTGAAATTAAGCCAGTTATATACAGCAGACATTGAAATTGGTATCCATGTACCATGAGGAATCTTGTTAAGTGTAAAAAGGCAGTGGAAATAATATATTTACATATGACATACAACCTTAGATAAATCAACATCTTGGATGCTGAACTAGCAAAGTACAACAAATTGAAACATGGAAGACAGAAAATAAACCGCTGATGGGACTTGCAATAACATAACTTATCTCTTTATACAGTCAGAGGTCAATTTATATCAATATTAGCAGTTGTTTTAAATAAAATGAACTTTTCTGGAAGTCACTCTCAACTTTTTTCCCAGTAATTTTGAACCAATGTTGAATTAAGCAATGTTTCAGAAGATGATAAAAAGGTTGTTTTAATTTATTTCTATAAAATGAGGAAAACATTTTGGGCTTCTTATTTTGACTTCTGGTGTTATATACTAAAGTGCATATTTTTTCCTAAAGTTGAAAATGATCAAGAGCTAGTTTTTACTGATCATTTCACCAAAATGTTATGACAAATGATTATGTTCTACTTTTCATATATTAATCAAATATATAAACAAACTTTAATGAGCCCTTTCCAAAAAAAATTCAAACTATGTCACATACACAACATCTATGTCATCTTCGAAAAATAAGCGAAATGTAAAAGGGTTCAAGCATACTGACTTTACAAAATTATAAAAGTTCTTGCAAAAAGTGCTATAAGTTTCTGAAGTTCGGTCTTGAATTGTGTATGTAAAATACATAAACCTTGTATGAACATGAAACCTTATTGCTCTTTTAAACAAGTTAATCTGAATCCTTAAGTGACTCTTATATTTTGATACAAGATACATTCATTTAATGGGAGTACAACTGGTTGGCTGCAATGGTAAGCTACAGTTCAGAGATATTCATAGCTTTTGCTTATTCTCCTTTAATTTGAATGCAATATAAGGTTTGTATAAATATGGTATTTGAACTTTGAACAATTGTGTAATCCAATTCAAAATGCTGGAAGAGGCAGCTATAAATACCTCTTTATTGTATTTTCCTCACAGCTTTGCATTGCAGTGAACTTTTTTATAAAATATACCTGCCCTCCTGAACGGAAAGTAACTTTATTCAAATATGATTCTGAATAAGAGTCAATTCTGGATTAAAAAAAATGACTTATATTAGTAAGAAGTGAAGTTTTTGATTGAAGATATGTATAAATATTTACTAAAAGCTACATGCAAGCGCCAAAAAAAGACAAAGTCCAGTTTTGGTTGGTAAATGAAACAATTGAATTCAATGGGATAGAAATACATTTATAGCAGGTGTAAATCTTCCCTTTACAGAAAATGATTGGCAAGCTACTGATGAGAGTTGAAGATATGTATTTGGCTTATGAAACTCATGAATTATAAAAATGAGAAAGAGGTTGAAGATAATACCAAGGTTGGTTGGCCTTTATTGGGTAGTTTAATTGAGTTTCAGATATATCCTGAAATAATTACTTGTTTGGCTATGGGAATCCACAAAAAACAATGCTTTCTCCAATTAAACAAATACTGCAATACAACAAATCATGTTGAAGTGATATTCATCCTTATTTGTCAACTCTTTTTAACAAGTGAAACAATAAAAAATGTGTTCATTCCTTTATTAATCTGGTATGTTTCATTTGATTTGCATATGGCATTAACTCAATTTTACACTTTATTCCAAGCTAATTTTTTAACTGACTGTATGATAAGTAAATTAAAGCTGTCCCATCAAAACAAACAAGAAAACCATAAAAACAAATAACATATGACTAGATGAACACTTTTACAATGAGTGAATAAAAATAATAACGTGCTTAGCCTAGCCTAACTGTGAAGGATATACCGGTATAATTAGTTTGCAAGTGCAAGATGTGAGATACAAGTGATTAAAAGAAATATGAGGTTATGCAATTTATATTCTTATAAATTTGTTATAGTATAACTTTATAACATATACTCTGTATTATTTGTTTTTTTACTGACAAAAATAAATTTCTGCTTTAATTCCAACAGATAAAAGATAAAGGGGAAAATGTCAAGGAGACAAAAACCCAACAACAAATGAACATATAATGTTCAAGAAGAAAATCTATACTTAAAGTATGTGTAAATAATTTTGCAAACAACTAACAATAGGCACTTTCTTTTTCAAAGTTCACTTACTCTACAACATTTATGAGCTAGAATTTTTAAAAAGCTTTGATTTCAAGTGCATATTGTAACACCTGTATGCCACTGATTTAATCTATGTGTTGACCTTAGATTGATGTAATGGTATATGTTGTTCAATATAAATACAAGAATAGTGAAAAAAAAAAAAGCACTTTAGCTGGGTTCTTATTTCATCATTTTTAGGATCAAGCTGAAGTGATTTGCTGCAATTTGGTGATAATCAATTACTGGACATGTTGAAATGTTAATTTACAATGATTTTTTTTAATTCAGAATTTGGGGTTGTGCCTAATAGAGCATGGGTGCCCTAAATTTTTGTTTTATTTTCTAAAAAATTATAGACCTTACCCAAATGTTTATTGAGTGTTCCAGAAAATTGTAAGACAAATACTTTATAAACATCTATACCTTCAAAAAATAAGATTTCACAAATCTTTCATTTATAACCACATTTCAATGATATCTATCAACAGAATCTTTTTGCATATTTATATTCATTTATGTTAGTAATATAAGCCTTCATAGGATTCTAATTAAATCCACTTGACCTTTATCATGAAATTTCATTTTGATTTTTGTTAATTCATAATATACAAGTATTAGTTACAACAATGTGAAAGCCCAAAATGTGAAACAATGCTTTTTTTTTAAATCAAAAATCTTGTCATAAAATCTTATAACATGGCTTAAATGGATAAAAATTATTTATAGAGACAACAATGTTTATAACTGGCTTCATAGAATAGTTTGTTGAATTTCAATTGTATTTTTTCTTCAGTTAAAGAGTCAATATTAGATTGCTGTTAGCATGTTCACATTACATGAAAACAATTTTCATCAGTTTATCTATGATTGTTATATATTGCACATGGCAGAGGTTTTTCCAAGAAAACCAACAATTTTTCACAAATATATCTCTGGTAGTGACAGAACAACATTAAATGGCACACAAACAGTCAAATTATTGCAAAATTAAGCACTAATTCATTAATAAATATTATTTATTTTTAAAAATCCTTTTTTGGTTGTATTTGTTATTTTTTATTATTTTTATTTATTTATAGATTTTACATCTAATCAGTGTGTCATGGATCAATGATAACATTTCTGTTGTAAAAAATAATACATTATGAAATTTAAATCCACCTGGTTTACATCAATTTTTCTACTTAATGCGTAGTAGCAGATGCCTTGATAAACTATGTTTATGATGCTCGCAATTAATTTTTGCAATTTTGCAGTTTTCTTGAATTTTCTTACATTAGTTGAATCTAAATTATATCTGATTTAAATTCAGGCATATATTATACATGAGAGAATTATAAATAATCACAGTTAGATATTGTATAATGGACAGTTTATCTTGCTTGTGAAATCCTTTCCTTTATAATAAACATGGTAGATAAACATAATGTAACATTCTAACAACTACAAGAAAGATTATGTCTGTTTAGAGTTGTTTTTCTGGTCCTCCATAGTAACAGCTTACACCTGTGTACCCAGGTCATTTACCTGAGAAGCAGCCTGAAAAAGATGGAGAAAGTCAGTCAAAAAATGAGCCATGACATAAAGACACAAACGATATCAAAATAAAGATTACCTATTTTTTCAGCATCAATAAACATTAAGAATAATCTAACAAGATACCATTAAATGTTAAATGTGTTAGAAAAAACCTTCCATCCAATTGCAAACAAGCATTTTAGTAATATTTTTTTATAGTGTCATTTGAATAATAATTAGTACTGTATAGAAATGTTAGGGAACATTTACAAACTGAAAGTCTAAACCATTTGTTTTGTTTTAGGTCCATAAAAGTGAAAATAGGTTAGCAATACAGTATGAACTGATACATTATTGCTGTAAGAATTTTTATTGGACAGGGTATGAAACTTTTATTCCCCTGTTACTTGACAAAACACAAATTAACTTCTTTTAACATGATTATATGATTAGTTTCTTTGAGTTCTATTTCTACTTTGGTAAAGTGCAGTTGAGTGAAATACATTTTCTATATGTGTCAAGAGTACAAAATTTTTCTAAAATTCTAAATGCATGCAAATGAAAACATTTCTTTCTTTTCAGCTAGCTTTAAGATTAACGACATAGGAGGAAAACTTACTGCAAAATGGCAATGAGAAATTCTAAGCAGGAATCTACTAAAACAAATGAACAAAACACTCAAGCAAAATGGTAACATATCAAAAAGAGGAGAGAAACTAAATGTAAAACATATCAAACAAAAAATTCAGACACCAGATGTAGTCAAAATACAATAATAAAGAAAGAAGAGAACTCTATGTTTGGACTAGTAAGCTCAATAAACTTCACCATTTTCAAGGACAGAAAACAAATTTGTGCATTGGGTCTGCTCTCTTAATTAACAAACATTTGCTCTTCTTTGTCCATCTATCATCACTTAAAATTAACTGAACCAAAATTGGTATGAATCATGTAAGGAAGGGTCTTTATAAAAGTTCCTAATTTTAATATATTTGGCATATTCTATTAATGCAAAAATCATATACACAAAGCAAATAATAATCTTGCATTTAAAGATGCAAACATGAAACCAATAGAAACTAAAAATACTTAATTGACCTATATCAAAATTAAGTCAAAAGAAATTAACAGTTCTTGAACAAAGAAATACAAATAAATATAACACCAAATAAAATTTACCCATCACCATTCTGCAGTTATAAAACTTCCAAGTCCAGATATAAAGATGGTGAAACTAAGACATGTAGAATTTTCACTAATTTTAGGTGTTTTTCATGTAGCCCTTTTCAACCCTTACAGAAGAACTTAAACTATTAAACTTTCCAAATCTGTCCATAACTTATTCCATGATGATTTTCTTTTTCTGGTTCCAACCAAGATGATAATTGTTAACATTTTAATGTGTTGCCACTTTCCAGTATACTTTAAAAGAAGTTAAAAGTGGTTCAATTAAATGAATGTATTCCTGTCTTATAGCTATGAAGATGTGTATTCATTACACTGCAATGAATTCTACATAAGAGTTGAAAGGTTATAACATTTTGAGAATTTCAACAGTATTGGTGAATTCATTTATAGAAAAAAATAATTGTGAATTTGTTTGGTCAAATATGCATGCAATATATATAAATCTGACCAAACTGTGATAAATTCTACATAGAGGGCATTAGTGTTCCTTGTACTCACCATAACCCCTAATTGAGCCTGAATTTAACAGAGAGAGGGGTTAATGAAGGGAACTAACTTTTCAAACAAATCTAAATAAAATAACTTCATACAAAATGCTTTTAAATTATAAATACATAGAAGTATGCTTTGAAATCACAGTAACTGTTTTTATTGCTAAAATTTGCAATCAGAGCTGTTTTAGTTTTTAAGAAATAAATCTGAAAAGAAAATTCACCAATGGAGGTATGGTGCTTTGAACACTACATGTATGTCAAACTAAATCAAAATTTGTTTTGATCTCTCTTTAATTTTCATGATATTATCAATCATCTTTATAACTGAAACTATAACACATGTTCAACATATTTTTGATGCTGGTAATGACCTTAGTACCACTGTTTGTTAAATTAATTCAAAGAAATTCTGTAATTTCAAAGCATAGAAGCATTTAAGCAGCTGTGCATATACATTATTGTTAGAACCTCAAAATGAATGTAAGTTCATGAAGTTTCTAATTAAATGCTCTTCTTAAATTTACAATTTAATTGCTACAATATAGTGTCATTTATGATTAACATACTTTAAACCACACATGCATCCTGTTAGTATTAGTCAAGCCTGTTTGACAACATTCCATTTCTTTAGAATCACATGATAAAAGCCTGGCCAATGATTGGTTGATAAAGTACCTGTCATTGGATTAGGACCTTTCTTTCGTCGCATCAACAACTGTCAGTATAACAATATCATTAACTTTTTTCTTGCTATAGTTTGGTTATAAGTTACTTCTTATGGTAGCAAATGAAATTGTTGAACAAGTTGAATGATCAGCAGAGTGTGGAAATTTAATTGGAAAGTGATTCGGTTTTTCTTTTTTTAATTTGATGGGAATGTCAACAAAATTTAGTCAATATCATGTATGAATAATTAACAAACAAGAAGCTTCTGAAAGCCTTATACCCTTATATTCTATGTTTAGCAATAGCGGCATTGTTGGCTGATTGGCAGCAAAATTTACACATAGATACTCAAGCATTATTCAGCCTAAGTTTGGTTCAAATATATTGGTTCTGTAGTTTCAGGAGAGAAGTTTCTTTTCAGTTTACAACAAAGGCAGATGACAAGTGATGGCAATAGCTTATATATTGGCCCATAAAGCCAGGTGAGCTAAATGTATTGAAAAATAAAAGCTTCTATGATGTTTGGGCATATTCATATTTTTTTAAGTTATTTTTAGGTATACATGTACTAATGATTATCCAATCAATAGTTACTCTGAACTTACTCAATTATACAGTTTTAGCATAAAGATAATATGGACAATTTATTTTCTACTGAAATAAAATAAATCTTTGCAACCAACTTTAACACTGCAAAACTGAAAAGCAACACTAAGAATTGTTGAGTTATATTATACTGCATTCAAATAATAATTAAATAAGCAGAACTTGTGCTATTACAAAATTAATGTACATGTTTGATTACACAAACAGAAATAATATATACTTCTGAGGTCTAAAGAATTTAGTTTTGTCAACTATAAAGCCATTTCATTGAGAGTATATTGTGATTAAACCAGGTTTACTAATGTAATATCAAACATGCACAGAGAAAATACTAATTGATTAGTTCAAACTAAACAGAAAAAATGTCATACAAAATGAAACTCAAAGTAACAAACAGAGAAATTAGATTAGTTTACATCTATAGTGAGAAAGATATACATTTCATCACCTGTCAAATCAGGTTTCAGACTTGGGCTCCGTAGATTCACTCTAAATGGAGAAAAAATTCAATTATAAAATAAAACAAGAAGATCCACAACCATTTTAAGCTCTTCTTTGATTATAATTCACTTAACCACTTTATGATGGTACATTACCAAAAGAAAAATTACTTTTTAACAAGAAAATTTAGATGTAAGGACTAACTGTAGCAGGTGGTTTCTTCGTGTCCAATAGCAAAAAGCAACATATCGGGTATATGGAAAATCTTATTAATTCTATATACTTGTTCCACTATTAGGCCAAATTTAAATTGCTTTTTGCATTAAAATGTTAGAAATATACATTGATAAAACTTGACAAAAACAAACAGTGAACGCTGAACAGCATAATCAAAGAAGAGTCTTAAGAAAAAAACAAAAATATTGGTGAAAAATGATTAAATTAAGAATATAAACTTTATTCTATTACCAAAAAGTAGTATAAAACATATAATACACAATAAAGTGTAGTGGTGCACGACTGATGTCTTACTCTTTACATACCAATTTCTGTGACATCTGTTTATTTGCTGTAATTTCTTTATCTAGCTGTTTTTCTGCATCAGCTAACTTTTTCTTCAACTAAAAAAATGTAAGAATTAAAAAAAAAAAAAAAAATAGACAATGTGTCCATGGGACACATATGAATGATGCATATAACGTTATAAAGGGACCTATCTCAAGAAGCATTGTGTATAAGTTTCATAACATTTAAAGTTAGAGAACAGAAACCAATTTCAGGACGTACGGACGGACGTAGTAAAGACAGACAAGGGTAACACTTAATGCCCCCTCTACTGCGGTGGAGAATAAAACTAGAGGCTCTCAAGAGCCTGTGTCACTCACCTGATTCTACTTTGGTTTTGGAAATCATGTAAAAATAGATTAAAATCATAACAGATACCCTAATAATGAGTGAGGCCAAATTTGGTTTAATATTGGTCCTGTAATTTAATAAAAAATCCTGGTGGCCATCTTGAACAGTAAATCGGCAACAAAGTAGCAACACTTAATCGGCACCTCATAAGAAACATTTATGCCATGTTTTGGTTTCATTCCATTCAGTGCACCTCTAGAAGAAGCATTTGTATGTATTTCCCATAGGGTCTTATGTTAAAGGAAGTCCCCCCATTGGCGCCCATCATGGATGAAGGATCAGCTTCAAAGTAACAAAACTTAGTCAGCACCTCATAAGGAACATTCATGCCATGTTTGGTTTCCATCCATTCAGTATGTGGTTCTCTAAAAGAAGACATTTGTATGTATTGTCCATAGTGTCCTTTGTTAAACATTGTCCACATCTGGCAGCCATCATGGATGAAGGATCAGCTTCAAAGTAACAACACTTGGTCAGCACCTCCAAAGGAACATGCATGCCATGTTTGGTTTCATTCCATTCAATGGTTCTCTAAAAGAAAACATTTGTACGTATTTCTCATAGGGTCCTATGTTAAACTAAGTCCTCCGCTGGCAGTCATCTTAGATTATGGATCGGCTTCATAGTAACAACACTTGGTCAGCACCTCATAAGGAACATTCATGCCATGTTTGGTTTCATTGCATTCAGTGGTTCTCTAAAAGAAGACATTTGTATGTATTTCCCATAGGGTCCTATGTTAAACTAAGTCCCCCCGCTGGCTGCCATCTTGGATGATGGATCAGCTTCAAAGTAACAACACTTGGTCAGCACCTCATAAGGAACATTCTTGCCATGTTTGGTTTCATTCCATTCAGTGGTTCTCTAAAAGAAGACATTTGTATGCATTTCCCATAGGGCCCTATGTTAAACTAAGTCCCCCGCTGGCGGCCATCTTGGATGATGGATCCGCTACAAAGTAACAACACTCGGTCAGCACCTCATAAAAAACATTCATGCCATGTTTGGTTTCATTCCATTCAGTGGTTCTCTAAAAGAAGACATTTGTATGCATTTCCCATAGGGTCCTATGTTAAACTAAGTCCCCCGCTGGCGGCCATCTTGGATGATGGATCCGCTACAAAGTAACAACACTTGGTCAGCACCTCATAAGGAACATTCATGCCATGTTTGGTTTCATTCCATTCAGTGGTTCTCTAAAAGAAGACATTTGTATGCATTTCCCATAGGGTCCGTTGTTAAACTAAGTCCCCCGCTGGTGGCCATCTTGGATGATGGATCCGCTACAAAGTAACAACACTTGGTCAGCACCTCATAAGGAACATTCATGCCATGTTTGGTTTCATTCCATTCAGTGGTTCTCTAGAAGAAGTTCAAAATGTAAAAAGTTAACGCCGACGCCAGACGATGGATGCCAAGTGATGAGAAAAGCTCACTTGGCCCTTAGGGCCAGGTGAGCTAAAAAGTCTGTCATACAAAGAGATATACATAATTTTGTGTAGATTTTCATTCACTATATAAGAAGTAAATATGCTAAACTACCATCATCTGACTGAATCCTGTCAATGAGTAAATATACAATCAAATCAATAAATTTCCAAGAAGACTTTTTGTTTGTTAGGTGTTTTCACTTAGTTTTTGTTATCGTCTAGGAAAAAGTTTTTGATGATAAGCATACTACAGTAACATTTTCATGCCGACCATAAATAAGATAAATGTTACATGTCATATAAACTTTTAACCACATGATATTAATCCTAACAAGTAGAACTGTGAGCTATTGCTCATACTGACAACACAGCTTTATGTATTCATTTAACAGGAAGTTGAAGACCAATGGATATGAACTTGCATCATGCGGTATAGCATGTTCAAATGAAGCCTAAACACAAATTTCAGGAAGCTCTTATTAGTAGTTCCTTAAAAAATAGATATGAAATTTCATATATGTCCATCATGTGGAAGAATAAATAAGCATTTTTCCCCTGCTTCACTAAGAAATAAATTAAACATGAAGTACAACTTACATCTTCATTTTCTTGACTAGGTGTTGCTCCAGATGACTGAAATACAAAAAAGACTAGTAACGAAATATTCTTACACCAAAATTAACTAATAACTCTTATTGTATTTCAATCATTGATTATTACTGTTTGAAATTGAAATTTCTGGAGCCAGATGTGTTAGGGGAGACTGAAGACAAATATTTTACTTTATAAAAATCAAGATTTTCATTAGCATGTATTGAAATACATTACATTTACTCCTTATCTAATGATATTGCTAAATCATGTCTGTTCAATTTGTTCAACAATAAACTGGAACTTTTTCTGTGATTTCTCAGAGCATTCAGGAAGGACTTTATAACCTCCAAATAAATGATGTTGTCCAAAACAAGAGTGCACACGCTGAAATGTCTCGCCTTCTTTACTAATCATTGATATTATGTTGATAGTCCTAAATATAAAGTTTTACTACAACTATCACATACACTTAACATGATCCAAGAAAATGAGGTCAAGGTCATATAAACCAAACAAGAAATACATGTACACCTTACAATCATTCAATACACTAAATATAGTTGACCTATTGTTTATAGTTTCTAAGATACAGACTTAACCAAGAAAACTAAACATTGACCAATGAACCACTAAAATGAGGTCAAGGTCAGATGAACAATGCCAGGCAGTCATGTACTACAGCTTGCAATCCTTCCATACAACAAATATAGTTGACCTATTGCTTATTGTATTAGAAAAACAGACCAAAACACAAAAACTTAACACTGAGCAATGAACCGTGAAAATGAGGTCAAGGTCAAATAAAACCTGCAAGACTGACAGGTACATCATAAAATATTTCCATACACCAAATATAGATGACCTATTGCATATAGTATTAGAAAAAAAGACCAAAACTCAAAAACTTAACTTTGACCACTGAACCATAAAAATGAGGTCAAGGTCAGAAGACACCTACCAGCTAGACATGTACACCTTACAATCATTCCATACACCAAATATAGTAGACCTATGGCATACAGTATAAGAAAAACAGACCAAAACACAAAAACTTAACTATAACCACTGAACCATGAAAATGAGGTCAAGGTCAGATGACACCTGCCAGTTGGACATGTACACCTTACAGTCCTTCCATACACCGAATATACTAGACCTATTGCTTATAGTATCTGAGATATGGACTTGACCACCAAAACTTAACCTTGTTCACTGATCCATGAAATGAGGTCGAGGTCAAGTGAAAACTGTCTGACGGGCATGAGGACCTTGCAAGGTACACACATACCAAATATAGTTGAACTATTGCATATAGTATTAGAAAAATAGACCAAAACTCAAAAACTTAACTTTGACCACTGAACCATGAAAATGAGGTCAAGGTCAGAGGACACCTGCCCGCTAGACATGTACACCTTACAATCATTCCATACAACAAATATAGTAGACCTATGGCATACTGTATAAGAAAAACAGACTAAAACACAAAAACTTAACTATAACCACTGAACCATGAAAATGAGGTCAAGGTCAGATGACACCTGCCAGTTGGACATGTACACCTTACAGTCCTTCCATACACCGAATATACTAGACCTATTGCTTATAGTATCTGAGATATGGACTTGACCACCAAAACTTAACCTTGTTCACTGATCCATGAAATGAGGTCGAGGTCAAGTGAAAACTGTCTGACGGGCATGAGGACCTTGCAAGGTACGCACATACCAAATATAGTTATCCTATTACTTATAATAAGAGAGAATCTAACATTACAAAAAATCTTAACTTTTTTTTCAAGTAGTCACTGAACCATGAAAATGAGGTCAAGGACATTGGACATGTGACTGACGGAAACTTCGTAACATGAGGCATCCATATACAAAGTATGAAGCATCCAGACCTTCCACCTTCTAAAATATAAAGCTTTTAAGAAGTTAGCTAACGCCGCCGCCGCCGGATCACTATCCCTATGTCGAGCTTTCTGCGACAAAAGTCGCAGGCTCGACAAAAACTCACTTCAATCATTGAAAAATAGCACTATTAATATGTATATATCTTTCATACTTTAAACAAAAAAATTATGAACTCTTCTTACTTTTTTTCTACTAAACTTTCATACACATACATATAAATAGAGAGAGACAAAAATTGATTTCAAATTTTATATCCATTTTGCCTCCTTTTGGCTACCATGTGCTTGCATGTACAGACAAATGTTCTGTCCACTACACTACATTATATACCTTCATACATATTTGCCAATATCTAGGTATTAATATCTTCTTATATTTGCTTTCTCTTTTTCTAATATACATATTTACCTTGTTTCTCTCTTCTATCTGTTTGCGTAGCTCATTGACTAATTCTGTTTCTTTGGATAAAGAATCTTGACCAGTTTTTATGATACCATTTAACCGTACATTTGTAGAGGCCAAATCTTTATTACTCTTCTTTAGTTCTTCTATTTTCTAAATAAAAAATAAAAGAATGACTATTTTTAACACCTAAAATCTTGCCATTTTACCAGAAGTTCAAACATGAGATCTAAATACAAGTTAGATATTTTAGCTGAATATGTTCTATAGAGTTGATAAATTTGTATTTATTCTCATTTTCAGCTTGAATCCATAATGTTTTCATGAGCAACTATTGTGTATGCTATTAGTTTCAGTATACTATATACAAATCAACAAAGGAAATCATATTTTTCAAATATCACTGAAATAAAAACCATGCTACATTCTTAAATCGAATACATTACAAGTGAATCCTCTTTTGTCATCGACAGTATACACTTATTCACAGAAAGTAAAAAATATTGATAGCAGAAAGCTTTATTATTAAATTCTAAAAAGACAGAAATCACCAACAAATTTACCTTCAGTAAATCATCTAAATTTTGTGTAATATTATTCTTTTCATTAAGTTCTTCTTCTAATGATGAGATTCTCACTTCAGCCTGTAAACAATCAAAACACAAATAAATCATCAATAATTGAAGGGAAATAGATGTAGTACAGTATTGCTTTAACAATTTGTTATGTTTCTTTCTATGGTTAAATTATAGTTTATCATCTCTATCTTCATAGAAAGTATGCCAGAATACATCTCTTTATCTTTATATTGAAAATAGTCAAGTTTTGGTAGTATATTGATTCCACTGTTTGTATTGTCAATTTTCTTTATTGATAAATATGAATTTCTTTATGTGTACAGTTATGGCATAATTAAATCTTGTGATTGAATAAATTAGAAAAAAACTAGCCTTTTAACTATTTCAAGCATTAAAATATATTTTATGTATGGTATTGAAAAGGAGTGTAATATAAATAAGTAATTCTACAAATGAAATGCATTTATTAGGTTTGCCTATCCTGAAATGCTTCATTTTCATTTAATGTTTTTATAGTTATGAGGTAGTACTTTTTTTGTGGCAAAGGTTTATTTACCTAGAGGTTTCTACTGTCATCTACTCGATCAATAACAGACACAGAAATAATGAAAGGTGCATGAGTGCATTAATGCAACAGCACAAAAGCACAAAGGGATTCATAACTGGCAAATGTAAAAATTTTCTTAATTGCTGTTTCATATTAGTCTCTGTCTCAGTTGATGAAGCGCAACAACCAAATTAATAACAGAAAGTGAATTCTTACCAACATGTGAGAATTGGATATTGCTTGATATCAACTCAGGTTGTTTAATTTCTATACAATAATAATCAAGCATTAGCTATATACTTTGTATTGCACTGTAGGTAACATATTCTATTCTCTGACAAAATTATCTCAATGATAAACATGCTTAATGGAAACGTAACTTAAATCTTTGTATCCTCAAAAAGAAATGGTTTTAAAGCCAACCACCAAAAATGGACAGGATTTTGCAAATAAAAATAAGGTATATATATATATATATCATAAATAAAGTAACCAAGAAAAGTGAAAAATATCTCATATAAAAAATTCCCTCTGCTTTAATATTTTACCTAAATTCTCTGAAAATATCTTATAAAATTCAGAATTAATTCACACTTATGATACAATGATTAAATGATACACTGTCAAAACACGATCCATATACAGAAAATAAAGTATCTAAAAATCAGACCAAATATAAGACAGTGTGTCTTTTTGGGGGCCTAAATGTACACTTATCTATGAACTACATGAAAATGTTCTCTTCTAAAACCAGACCATTTTTTTTTCATCATACTATGTACCTAGGTCAAAGGCAGCTTGTTAATCTAAGCCTCGCAAAACATTACACAGAATATGGAAGTTTTTGATTTATCTGAGAATTATACATCAGTAATTTTTGTGCCACATGCTAAGAAATTGTCTTCAGTCATTTCAAAATCTAATACACATATCCACACCTCCTTTGCCTTATTTTGAAACTGTAAACATCTGTCTTCTGAATCTTTAAGTCTATCTTTTAAACCTGTGACCTTTTCTGTCATCTGAAATACCACTTGTAAATACAGTATTTGATTTTTTTCTGTTTTACCAACAAAAACTTTGAATTTACACTTTCAAAGTAAATTAATGATAGGCCTAGATTGCTTAGACATCAGACTGCTATATTTTTAGACTGATGGCCCCACAGTCCAAGCAAGTCCCAAAAGGCCATCAGATGTTGGAGCAATCTCGACCTATTAATTATAATTCTTTAATTCTGATCAGCAAATTCTGGAAATGCCACTGATATAGAGGAAGGGGTATTTACTAGATCAACAGTTATGTTCTCACAAATAAATTATAATATCACAATTCAGTAAATCCCCTGTTCATACAATAAATGCTCTACCTACGAGTTGCCTTTACCACATAGGATCCTATGTAAAATTGTGGTATATTTAAATTTATCCTTAACTAAATAACAAAAGTATGTTATCCATAGAATCTCACTTCCATTTAATTCATGATTTTTTTTTTTTTTAAGAAACTTTATCCATAAAAGACAGGAATTAATTTAAAACTGATTTGGTTTCCATAATAATTATATTCAAATAGGATCCTTTGTGAATCTATGTCCAAGATGACAGCCAATGTGGATTTTAAATCCCCTTGTAATATTATGGAATAATTCATCCATAATATGAATCCATAATATAGAATGAGGGTATGAAACAGATCACACAACACTGAAAGTTTTTTTTATTTGTCCTCTGTAAAATGCCATAAAAATAATCAATGTGAATTTTCTAAAATCAGTCCATGAAATGAATGCTTTGTTCAGGAGTTTTCAATATCAATTTATGTGAATGTCTTTAGAGACTACCAGTTCCTATGATCAATGTTCCGTAAATTAATGCCACAACAACCATTTCATTTTGTAAGTTCTTTGGATTTGCTCACATCAACTTCAGAAAATGAATTAATTTTACTTTCATGTGAATCTTTCATCGAAGACATTTGTGCTTGAGATAAATTATCATCTGTTCCAAAAGGTAAAATTAATATTTCCTATTGCAACTTAGCTAAATGCAAATCTATTTTCTGCCATTTCTTCTATCAAGAATAACTGCGAGAAAAATGCTGAATACAAGTTCTCTAATTCTGTGTCAATTTAACCCTTCCGGACATATTGTATAAAAATATTTAATGCCGATGATCTCAGAAGATGATTGGATGACTTTAAGGGTCATAACCTTTATCGGCTCAAATACTGTAAACCAGGAAATTTTCGCGCCATCTTTATTTCGTGTTTTATGAACACAATCTAAATTCGCGATTTCCCTGTGGCCTATAAAATATTTTCATAAAGGATATAGAAAGTGAACAGCTTTACATGTATAGTAAATCAAGTGATACAATCAATCAGAAATGTTTTCGGTTCATTAATGTTGAAGGAGATTGAAAGTTGTGTCATGTTTGCTTGTAAAAACACATACACAATACACAGTAAAGAAGGCCTAATTAAGAGTGAATAAAAATAAAATGCTGTCAGGATTAATGCTAATTAATCGATCTTTTGATCTGATTAATCTGTGTAGCAGATTCAACGAGGTGATACTTTTAAAACTGATTGACTGGTGTCATTTACATATTTGTAACGAGTGTTGTTTACATAACAATATTTGCAATGTCCGCTTGTTTGAGATGTCTTCCATGTTGATGAGATTAACTTGTAAATTCCGTGTTATACAGTGGTCCTCTACATATCCTATTCTTTTACATACATGTATGTTTTTCATCTTATGAATAGAGTTTCCTTGAAATTTTCGCGGTCGTTTTATTTTCGCGTTTCAATTCTTACTGCGAAAATAGCGAAAATAAAACTGCCGCGAAAATTTCCCTGTTTACAGTATGCTAACAGGTGTTAATAAAATTGACAACTTTGTGGAATGTGGAAGGCATTTGAAGGGGATTTTTGTTAACCATTAGAGAAACAGATTCTTACATAGTTACTCTTGGATTATCCAGTCTCGATAGTAAAATTATCAATTTCAAAGTCCTCGCCGAGGCTCAGACTTTAAATTTTGATAATTTACCTATTTCGATTGGATGAATCCGATAATCCACTGGTACCAATGTAAGAATCTATATTTCTCTTGCTTATATACTTTTGTCTCCCTAAAATCCAAAGAACAAAAAAGGAAATTGCTGTGGCTTCAATTTTGAAAATGCCATATTTTTTGTGTGTTCTTAATGAATATTGCATGATCTTCTATGTCAAAAAATGTATGTATCAGAAATAGAAATTAAAAGTATGCAGTTTGAACTAAACATATTCATTATTTTTTTAAAAATCAAAATATATTTATTGAATATAATCTTCTGTAATAACACTACTTGGAATAATGACATGTGCAGCATGATAGAAAGCGTCAATTATAATACTGCTTAAACAAAAGCAAGCTGTCTTGCTGAAGTGTTACTGTCATGCTCATCCTATCACATTAGTCCATTCAAAGAGTTTTACTACTGAATTATTATATATCATGTCCTATGCTATGAAGGGTTAATCTCAGATGAAATGACAGATGATACAGAAGCCTGCTGTGCACATCATCATGCATGTTGAATTAGTGTGTTAATTATATATTGTCCTTTTAATATGAAAGATCCACTCTGGCATATTATTGTACAATTTAATAAAATTGTGTTATTGGTTAAAAAACAAATGCCCTTCTCCCTTTCACTCCTGCCCTGCTTATGAAGATCTGATATTCTAAAAAAAGAATTATCGAACTCTTGAACATGTTGAAATGCACAGCAATTTAGAAAATCTTGTATTGATTAAATCTCCTGCATGTAAAAATGGCCAAGTCTGTGTTTTGCTATGGAAGATCCCCAAAACTCATTCTGCTAAAAGATAATTCAGAAAATTTAGCTATGTTTTATTTCACAAAAATGTGTCAGGACTAATATCACATCAACTTGAACTCAAATCTTAAATTCTGATTGCATTATTAAACATGTAAACTATAGAAAAGTTTCAAAGTCAACAACTATGACTGAGGGGTCATAGCCAAATAATCTCCAGGGAGAATAGATGTGCCAATGCAAACACAACTACCTACCAAATATCAAGAAGGTATAACCTTTAACTGAAGTCTAATAGAAACAATAATTAACACAAAATAATCAAGATAACAGTTTATTAAAACATGAAACCATGAAAAATTGACATGAATCCCACCTTTCTTTTGTCTTAGAGACTACATAATTCACTTAAATATCCACTAAATTAAATAACAAATTATATAAATTAAACTACTTCATTCACAATATTTCAGCATCATTATACCCATATATTACATTTAATATCTTCTAAACTTTAAAAGTTTTTTTTATTGGCAATGTTACAGTGAAAAAAAATGCAGTTATGAATTAAATGTTTACAAAAAGATGAAATTGCTGATTTTGCACTATTTAATGATTGATTGATTGATTGTTTGGTGTTTTAATGCCACTTTCAGCACTATTGCGCTATTTTGTGGTGGTCAGTTTTTATTGGTGGAGGAAGCCTGAGTGCCAGGAACTTCAGTAGGAAAATTGACAATCCTTATCAATTAAGATTTGAGTCGAGCACACCTGCCATGTGTGGGATTCGAACTCACAACCTCAGTGTTGACAGGCTAGTGATATAGTAGTTCAACTACTTAAGGCAACTCGGCCACCTAGGCCCTACACACTATTTGATGAACATTTATACTTGAACAAAAAATAAAATAACTTAAAATGGTATAAAAACAGACCATACAGAAACATATCAATTTTGTAAGGTTGACCTTATACAAATTTGGCTTTTTCCATGCCCATTTTTATCTGCTAGCTCATTTATTCTTCTTCCCTCACCCCTCTCCAAAACTTTTGGTTCAAAGAAAAATTGATGAATTTCAATCCCGAAAAATGCATTTAATGTAATTTAACAAAGTCTAGGATCTAATTATCAAAAGCAAAAGAATAAAGTAGATTCCCCATACAGATTAAAAGTAGTGGTATGTTATATCCACAAGTTTTTAGTTTAGGATTGCATTTTAGAGAAAATGCATATGATCCATTCATTAACTGTATTATAACTTACATATTATTTCTTAAAATTCAAACCTGGTACTTATTTTAAACTAAAGGGTAGTGAGGAGCCATCAAAGAGGGCCCCGCTCTAGTACGGTAAGCAAGTAAATTGTGATGCAAATTAGAAATAATCAGGGTTATTCTGTTGAAACATAGTATATCCCCATGGAAGGCAGAAATTTTGCTGATGCATCAGTAACTCATTGCAAAACTGCAAGTGTGTTTTAAAGTTGAGTTGAAACAATTTTTGTACATATGTAGTTGAACTAAGATTTTGACAATGACTTTCAATGTAAGGTTTTCTTCCCTAAACCCTACATACCTTTTATTAGTGTTGATAAATCATGCACAGTTTCATAACCCAATTTAAAGGGGTTTGAAAGTTAAGAGAGTAGTAACGATTTGTGGCAGATCTACAAGCTGGTTACTATTGGTCTTCCAACAAATATTTGGTGGGCCCTAATGACTATATCGCTAGCATTTGATACAAATTTTCTAGACTTATGGATATATTTCATTATTTTTCTTTATGTTGATTAAAGGAAATGTGAAATAAGACTTTAAGACTTCAAGTGCACAATTTCTTTGACGTAAAACATTGATCACCAAAGTTAGTTTTCCAAACAATCTACTTAATACGCCCAATATTCATTCTCTAACTAAAAAAACAAATTATCCTTATTTTGTATGACCATAAACAAAAAATTATTCATTTATATATATATTGCAGTTTTTATCCAACACAATCACAGGTTTGAACGTTGTTTTCAATTCAGACTTGTATATATATATATATCTGTTATAATACTGTATGCTAACTAAATGTATGTTTTATGTAATACCTAACAATTTAATTGTAAAACTTTTTGCAAGTGTCAAATATAAATATACAAATGTGATGATAAGTCAGTTAATATTACAATTCTATCTACCCATACATCATGCATCAAACTTATATCAAGAAACCACAGCCATAAAATTAAAGAAAATGAAGCAGGATTGTGTGGTTAATTTTCCAAGTAGTTCCATATCATTTTACCTCATCTGTAATTTTTGTTATACTTTTCTCTAAACATCGATAAGCAAAGTCCAATTCACCTAAGGCCTAGAAGGAATGAACCACACAAACTATTATTATCTGTTAATATCAATACAGCTCAAATATTGGTACTGACTTCATGCTTTATATTAGCATTAAAATGATAAAAACAATGAAAACAACATAACATTAGTATTATTTTTAGTTTTGAATGAAATGTTCAATAAAGCAAAAAGTATAATGATAAATTGGTCTTTTCTTATTGCATGATTTACCATATTCAGATGCTTTAAAAAAATGTATGCAGTACTTTTAAGCTCCTTTTCTACAGTAACTAAACACAATCACATACTGAAGTCTCCAAACAATTTGGTATCAAAATACATGTAAAATAACTCATGTTCATATATAGACACTGTACTTTAAAATCAACTTTTAATGTTGATTAGTGTGAAAATACAGTGCCTTCCAGTCTTCCCATTTCAATTATTTTCCTAAGCATTCTTATAAAGAACCCTTAACCCCGTAATTTCAAAAAAAGCGTCCTACCCAAATAATATAAATAAAATCCAACTATAATTTTCTAAAAGAGATGGATAAAGAGGTTCACCTGACACTTTTTACAGCTTTCAGCTGCTTACTAGACACAAAAGCTTTAATATTCTATTTACTCATAATTCATCATAAAAGTATATATAACCTCTAATTTCAAATGCCCATGTTTACCTCTCATACACACATACAGACACACCCCATATAAATAAACCAAAAAACAAAAACAAAACTATATCAACCATAGAATTTAAGAATACCAAAAAAAATAATTAATTATACAATAAACTTCCAGCACTAAATTGAAAACAGTTCATATGAATGACAACAAATAAAGCTATGCTACAATGTCTGGATGGTGAATGATGGTGAGACTAGTGATGGTGAGTGAAGATGGTGATGGATCTTGGTATGATTCACTGCAAAATATTAAGTGTGATTATAAATGCATGCTACAGCTCTATACAGCATTTGAGAAACCAAAAATGCAACTTTTGCACCCTTGGAAAAAATTATCAAAATTTTGCATCTTGTTTGCTGTTAAAGAGTTTCCCTGTTCGTAATAACAGCAAGTAGACTATATTGAGTACAATAAGCCTATAGGTCACATTGAGTGCAAGAGCCAATTTATCGCAATGGATTCAATAGCCAATATACTAGTATGCATCAATTTCAATAGTCAATATACCATATCGAGTACATTAGTCAATATATCCAAGTACAAAAGCCAATATACTGCATCGAGAACAATGATCATGCATTATTATCACAATAAACTTGGAATTATTTATTTTTAAATTACTGCATATTCTCCTTAAATAGAATTATGTGTTGTTCAATATATTAGGATTTTTTTTAGAGTAAGATTATAGAATAAATATATACCGTAGAAAGGCTTGTATAGTTCGCACTGGTACATAGTCCGCACCCCCTTCTCCCCGCGAAATTTTAGGTAAAAAAACTTTTTGTAACTGTTAGAAAAGGTCTAATGAAACTCCGGTAATTTCAAATCCTGTGCGGTCGTTTGCGGTATTTTCTTGGAAAAACCTGTTTTCCATCATCAAACAGAAGCTGAAACTGCTTGTAAATGATTCTAGAACGCTTCATGATTGTTAAAATAAGTTTAATTCACTTAAAAAACAATTTAGAAACTTGTGTATGTTTAAACAGGAAGTTTAAAAAGCACGTGTAAATGAAGAAATTAACCGGTGAGAGTCGAAATCCGTACATAACAGATATCACTATAATACGACTTTGAAAGTAAAACAGTTCCATCCTTTTGTAAAACAGTCTTTAATATATCTATCACGTTAATGTTTGAAGGGTCTTAAGCTAATACAAACCATATTAGTCAGTATGAAACACCAAAACGGAACGAACAATAACCGATTATGTTTTGTAGTTTACAAATTCTAAGCTGGTTTACGGTTGTCTTTTTCACTATGTTTGTATCGTTTCAATCAAGCAGATACCAGTTTATTTCAACCAATGCATTGAAAAGAAACGAGTAATTTGTAATGAAAGGTTTAGTTTTTATATTTATCAGTATTAATTTGATATTGAATAAAAATAACTTATTAATATGGATGAGTTAAAATTATTAGTTTGAAAAATGATAAGAGCGCCCTCTACCATATAAATAACAAAGATGGCGGAACGTAAACAAACCACCTCGCCCGCGAAATTGAAATTTTTCTCTTATTTCTTGCTTATTGTACTCTATAGTCCGCACCCCGTCTGGAAGGTCCAATTTTGGAGAATAAAACCGTGGACTATACAAGCCTTTCTACGGTATGCTTTTAAAAAAAAATTGCCTTTTAAGCAGAATGGCCACGAATTAAGATGCAACAAGGCACATAAATTATATAAATGTTTTTGTAAATATGACGAAAATTGGAAAATTTAACAACATGAACAAAAGGGTTAAGGAAACTTTTTTTTTTTTGCATTAAATAACAGAATGGTTGTTAATTTTTGCATTATATATTTCACCTTGACCAACAAAACACAATAAAATGTTCAGTCATCAGTATTTCTTGCTGAAATGCCTACATGATGAATTTAATATATTTTAATGCTAAATGCAAATTTGAAAACTTTAGCATAACATATTAACAATAATTGATTATCGTTCTTGACCTAAAACAAGAAAGGAGCTACCTTGTAAGCAAAGTTAAGTTTGAATTGAACCAATCAATAGAAGTCAGCTGAAGCTACAGGCATTCATTATTATCTACTATCTTATGTGATGTGGAATGACTACTATTATAATGTAATCTAAGCTTTATATAAGCATGTGAATAAACGTGCATTTACAATATGAAACAACTCATGCATTCATTTTCACAGAAATAGTAATATGTGACTTCCGTGTAGAACTTCTTTGAAAAATCTGTTTTAAATAGTAAATTCAGGAGACTTACTACTATTAAACTTCATATGAACTTAATTCTTAATATATGAAACTTAACCAGCTTTTGTGTACAAACATATTGCTATCACAATATAAATCTGGGTCATCTACATCACCATTCATAACATAGCATTCTATATAACACTTACCTCTGCACTGCCTTTAGATTTTTCTAATTCAACTTTTAATGTTGAATTGTCTTGCCGCGACTGTAAAACAACAATGAAACATAATAATCAAGAAGTTGCATGCCTTGTCATGCTAAGCACACCCTTACTTGTAATTCAAAGTGTCAGAAAAAATGAAGTAGGCAATTGAAAGATCTGATAACGGCTTACACTTTACAATTCATCACTGTGGAGCTTCTGAACAAATATAAAGTCATTCTGATCATTAGTACCTGAGAATAGTGTGAAGAAAATATTTGTTGGACAGATAGATGAACAGATTGACAAACAGACAGAGTGATAACAATATAGCCCCCACTCCTAGAATGGGGGATATAATATGAAACACTAATTATACATATTAATCAATAATGTATTTTCAGCGTCTACCCAGGAACAACACTTCAAATAGCAATGGTCTTTCATGAGTTATTCTGAACAAGAACACATTGTAAGGAAGCATAAAACACTAAAAGCCTGACTGAGGGGTGAGTGTTATATACTAATGTCAGAGCATACCAGATATCAATGAATTATTGTAAGTACTTGTCAATAAACACCTTTTAAGAAAATCCCCCATTTGAATAATCTTCATGTAAAAATTCCCAAGTCATGATAGCAAGACACTGAAAAGACAGAACCTCATATTCAACTTGAAATTGAAATGCATAGATGCTTATTAATAAGCATGCCATAAAACCATAGCTTATCATTAACAAAGCAAATTTTCTATAAGAACACCAAATCAGCAAACAACATTTAAACAATATAAAATATTTAGGTCACTTTCTATGACTATGCAGATAGGGATCTTAAACTGCATGGAAATGAGACGCATAGATGCTAATGCCACTGATATACCAAATATCTATAAAAAATCAATAAAACTTTTTTTCTGAAATGGACCTAATGACAACAATGACATCAAAAGATAACTTGTATGTCTGAACTTCAAACGTAAGGCATAGGAGAGACCCAAAAAAAAAATCTGTTTTCAATATAAAACCATAATTGATTTGAATATTTTTAATATGTTTATACCTACATCTACACAATTCTTGAATCTTTTAACACAATAATTTTAGGATCATAATTAATACCTGCTCAAGATCTAATTGTAATTCTTGTAATTTCTGTTGCCACTTTCTTTCTTCACCTTCAACACTATTCTCCAACTGCTGTAATTTATTTTCCTGAAAATAAATCAAGATTATCAGGGGATTGTCTATGAGCTGGTGCAAAAATACAAAACTAAGCCAGCAGTAAATCCACAGGAGACAATATTCCAGTATAGCTTATTTTTCATTTCAAAAGAAGCAATTCAGCATAAACAATGAGAAATATTTCAATGTGATGGGTTTTTCTTCTTCTAAAGCTTAAGAAGAAAGTGTAATACAGTATCTTGCTCTACTCCTTCAATTTGAAAAATTATGCTTCTGAACAAAAGTCACCTTACTATCTCATCATATTCATTTATCAATACAACTAATATTTTGAATGATTTGAGGAATACAACCGTTTTGCTATCATATCTCTTCCATTGTTTTACCAGCATTATAAAATACCTTTAGTACTAAACAAATACAGTTCACCAGCAAGATACAAACATTTGATATCTTTCCAATTGACACTTAATTAATTTGTTATCAGTTAATCATTTGAAGTGGGAACAATATGCTCTACCTTCAAAGAAAGAAAAAATAATCTGGTGAACAGGCTGTTTGGAGTAGCTTTATTCCGAGTTTAAACATCAACTATCTCTTATCAATCTGTTAGATAATTTAAGGCTGTAACCTTGATTGTTACTTTTTTCTTTATTGACATTTGGCTTTTAAACCTACTTCCAGAATCAATCATCAACAGACTGTTATATATAACTACAGTGTACATGTACTGATTTAATCAATTTTATACATACTGTAGTTTGTAAAACTGTTTTGAACTCCTCAACTTGGGACTCTAATCTTTTGTTGTCTTCTATTAATTTTGAGGAATCATCTGATTTGGCACTCTGAAAAAGATATTTAAAATTAAGTGATTTTTTTTTCTAATTCTCCTCTTGGTGATGATGAAAATCAAAGGCAGATCAAATGTAATTTCCAATTCAGTATAAGGAAGATGATATTTCCAATTCAATAACAGTGAATATGATCTACAAAGCATCCAACTTGCACAGCAGTAAATCCCTTAAAGTCAACACAAACATTTCAGCATAGATCTGGATCTTTTACTTAATACTTAGTCACATTGACTATAAAATATCCAAGAGAAATGAAAATATGCAACTATTTTTTACTTACTCCTTTTTGTGACTTTAAGGTGACTAAATATGTCTGGATTTCCTTTTCAAATGTGGACATCCATTCTTTATGAACCTGAAAATAAAAGCTATCTATGAATTCCCTTCTCAATAGTTTTCAAAAAATTTCCAGTTACTTTAAATTCGGAAATTACTGCGAGGTTTTTATTAATGCGAATTATGCCACTTGGTGATGATCGCAATAATAAGAACTCGCATTCTGATATTTAGTACATATATCTGTATACAGATTTTCCTGAAATTGCAATAATTAATCTCACATTTTTGTTCATTTTTCAAAAATCGCAATAATAAATGCACGAAATAATTTCTGAATTTACAGTAAAAACATTTTTTTTATCGAAAGTCACTTATGATTAACTTGTTGTTAAAAATTTCTGTAAGTATTTGAAGCAGCAACAAAAATCATACCAAATATAATAATTATAGATCATATACTTCGATGATATTTTGTTGGGCATATGTTGTACTTTTCTGTCATAATCATTTGCTTTTATTGATATAGGATATATAACATTTTTTTGTCAAAAAAAATTATTCATTCATAAAATTTTTATATTCATGTATTCATGTAAGAGGTACAATGTACTTACTAATTTTTCACTAACTTTAACATCAGGAAACAACCTCTGAAGTAATGCCTGGTCTGACTTTTGTGTATTTGTGACCATAATCTGTTCTTGCTCCTATAAATCAAAATTTGATTGTTCAAATCACATTAAACTTGTACCATCAAAAAACTGTCTGAAAACACTTCGAAATATATATCTTCTATTAAACTCTATATCTAACCATTTTAATATTTGCATGATACATGTACTTACTTCAAATTTACAATGAGCTTAAATAAAACTGTTCAATTGTGTACATTTTTCCTAAATTAATTTAGAAATAAACTGTTGCTCAAAGCAAAGTAAAAAAGCAACAATTCTTTTCCACCTTTCAATGTTGATATAATGTTGAAGCACAAAATTTCATGGGGGGTAAATTTTCATTGTTTTTGTCCTATAAACTTGTTAAGCAGGAATTCATACTTATCATACTTATCGTAAAGAGGTAATACTAAAACTGCATGTATAGAAATAAAGATGTCTCGACTGTATGAATTTGTATCGATGACTATAGGAAAAGACAACGTCATAAGTAAACAAGGTAAGATACAATAACACCGTGTTACCGTAACATATTCTTCGTAGCATGATTTCCAACAATACTTGTAATTTCAGTTCGAGAAGGCAGGTTAACTAACATCTTTGGGGATTTTAATGTTGTGGATACTAACTATGAAATTGAACCTAAACAAAATTTCTGCCTTCAGAGTACATCAAATGTCTGATGATTCTTATGAAAATGGCAAAGTAGTAATTATATTTTTTTAATAACTTAGTTGACAATATAGGTAGTATTACAAATTCTTCAATTTTTACCAAATCAAACAGAATTTCTATTGAATGAAATGAAGTTGAAGATTTAGCTTAAACACAGTAAAATTAACAATTTAAAATAATTCATAAATTAAAAGATTTACAGAAACAAATGTGTTCATATGACAATACACACAGCTGACACTATCACATTTCTATGTTCAAAGTCCTAAAGAAACATTTAACAATGCATGGACTCGTTACAATGTATCAACATTTCATGTGTATATTAGACTAGTTGCATCTAATTAACCATCCAGATGACATCTGAAGAAAGCTGGTGGTCATATGACCCAATAAAACTTTTATAAACACAAATATACAGACAAGCACATGCAATCATATAAAGACGATTTTCCAGGTGTTATATTTCAGGTCATAGATTAAAGGCATGTAAATCATTGTTTTGATACTAAGTTTCAAAGATGATATAACACCAAGTCATGGTGATCTTACTAGAGACAAAACTTTAACCTGATGCAGGGCAGACGGACCAATAGATAGACGCATCAATCAGAAAACATTATGCCTACCCCTTCTAATGGTCAATATGTTGAAGGACTAAGACATAAAATTGTTAAAGACTATTTGAGAACAGCTTGCAGCTTAACTTATCAGACTTCAATTTCTTGAAAATGTCTCAGATTTGTTACATTTTAAGACAAGAAATGAGCTGACACACAACCGTCTTTTTCCTTCAGAAAAAGTTAAATATATATGAAATAAACAGCTGCGCCATGAGCGCATGATACGCCCGTCGTCTTGTGTGTGAATTTTTATGCAATAAGCATAAATAGTTTCTGACATACGGCGTGACATGCGAAAACCCCCCTTTTTTTTTTTACAAAAAACTCAATATCTCTAAAATAAAATTTTGAATCAAAACCAAAAAGTATACAGATCTTTAGATTAATATAACTAAGAAGTGTGTAAAATTTTAAGCAATAATCATAAATCGTTTTTGAGATACGGCGTGACATGTGAAAACACCCCTTTTAAAAAAAAAAAAAATTCAATATCTCAAAAAAAATTTTTGAATCAAAACCAAAAAGTATACAGATCTTTAGATTAATATAACTAAGAAGTGTGTAAAATTTTAAGCAATAATCATAAATCATTTTTGAGATATGGCGCGACATGTGAAAAACCCCTCCCCCTTTTTTTACAAAATACTCAATAACTCAAAAATAAAATTTTGAATCATCACCAAAAAGTATACAGATCTTAAGGTTAATATAACTAAGAAGTGTGTAAAGTTTAAAGCAATAATCATAAACTGTTTTTGAGATACGGCGCAACATGTGAAAAACCCCTCCCCCTTTTTTAACAAAATACTCAATAACTCAAAAATAAAATTTTGAATCATCACCAAAAAGTATAAAGATCTTAAGATTAATATAACTAAGAAGTGTGTAAAGTTTTAAGCAATAATCATAAATTGTTTTTGAGATACGGCGCGACATGTGAAAAAAAACACACACCTGTTTTAGTTACTAAGTCCCGTAACTCAAAAAGTTTTAATCTTATCTTCACCAAAAAGTATACAGATCGTTTGACCATCATAAGAAACAACTATCTTAAGTTTCATGAAATTTGGATAAGTCATTCTCAAGTTACGGTGCGACATGTTTACGCCGGACAGACAGACGGACAGACAGACGGCCGGACGCCGGACATTTGTATAACATAATACGTCCCGTCAAAAATTTGACGGGCGTATAAAAATACAAGACAAATCCATTTGATTAAAAAAAAAACAAAACAAAAAAACATCACTATCCCAAGTTTTTTAGGAAAGTAAAATTCAAATCCCAAGTTATATCAGTAAGAAATTGAGTACCCTCATCAATATTTTATTTCTGATTCTTATTAATGGGACAGCCTTGAAAGCAAGCACATTTAACTGCAAAAAAAAGTGTCACATGCACATTGCAATACTGATACCTCCTTCTCAGGTAGCAAAACCAATAGATCACAACATGTATTTTATAAAATAATAAAAAGCAGACCCCCTACCCTTAAAGTAAAGATTTACAAGTTAATCACAACATCTACTGATAAAATTTAAATGCAAATTTGTGCAATAATTTTGAAATGAAGCAAAGAATTAAAATCAAGTATTAAATGATATCAGTGTTTAAAATTTATTTTTTTTCTTGTTTACCTTTGTTTCTTTAACTGCTTTCTGAACTTTGTCAGAACAAGACTTTTCAGTTTTATCTAAAGCATCCATTGCTTTCCAATTCTTTTCTCTTAAGTCCTACATTAATCAAAACAGTTGACAATAATTAAATCAAAATTGGAAAAAACAACTAAAATTGATGTTCATCAAAAATTTAAAAGTTTGATTCAGCCTACTAAAACAGCATGGTCCATAGACATTCATGTTTGAACATATGTGTAATAATATTTATTTTACAAATCTCACCCACTACATGCTTGTTAGTAACATTTTTTTATTAAGTCTTATATATACAAAAATGTAAAACCATTTGTATTTAAATCTGAAAGGTCTTTATCCACAAGAAGAGAATTTGACAGAATATATTTTCTGAATATTTCAATTCTAACAGCTCAGAAATAAATAATGAGTTTTGATTTCATAATCTTAAATACACCATTACCACAGAGAATATAGGCTAATTAACCTCATTTTTCAAGACAATTTGTGAGAGAAAAAACTGAACATGTCAAAAACCTGTTTCCTTCAAAACATTTAAAATCTACAAAATCAACTGTTTTAATCTCATTTTAAAAACAGAATATGTAGTTTGACAATTTGCTGTTCATTGATTATCCAAAGAAAAATAGTGCATTTTCTTTATTACTTATAACAAGTATGCAAAGGATGTCAACAGCAATAGACATTTACTAATTCATTTACGGATTTGACCACTTGGTCACATTCACATTATAAACTAGGTTTAAATATCTGTGGTACCATTAGACTGTATTCTCTGAGTGGTGGTGTACTAATACTTACATTATTCTTTTTCTTTTGTGCATCAATGTCAGCTTGAAGTTTTTTCAGCTGTTCAGTTTCTGATGACACTGCAGACTGTTTCTTCCCAATATCTGCCTTGACACTAGACAGTTCTTGAGTTTGGTTGTCATATTGACTTTTGAGATTTGAATTTTCATTTTTCAAAGATTTTAATTGTTCTTGCATATTATTCACTTCATTTTTCTGTGCTGTTAGCTGTTCCTGTATCTTAGTTATTTCATTCTTTCTACTTTCAACTTCTGTTGTTAATTTCTTTACCTCAACTGTTTTCTCTGATAATCTGTAAAATCAAGCAGTGTGTAAAGGGTTGATTGTTGATTAATGGCTCCCAAATGCCAAGTGACAAATATATCATGCATAATCAGAATAATAACTTGATTGATATGAAGATATCCTGCCTTGTACTTGATCAACATCCTAATCCAGATTTTTAATGTATGAGCTAATAAGAGTATAAAAGAAATTTAACTTCTTTGCCAAACTGTCTGAGTTTCTGTCTGACATTTGGTTCCAACAAACATGCCTATACGTCTGACTGAGGAAAAACAAGTTTGAACTAATTTTATGGCTGACTTGGTTGTACTCGAATCTATTAAGGGATTTACTAGAATGTCGTTCCAAAGTTAGTAAGAAAAGAAAATTATAAGTTTCAACAATGACAAAAGTTTATGTGTTGCAAACAAATGTAAATAATCAAAAACACACACCATAAGACATGTAATGTACATTTTCAGAGTGCTCAATCTTATTCTTTTCTTTATTTTGACTGGCTGGTTCATTTAGTTTTTTCCTATTTATGATCTACTTTATCTTCCTCTCAGTTTACATGTAACCAAAAATAGAACATTTTCAGTAAATATGAAACTTAAATATAATTTTTTTTATTTCTTACATTTTTTCATGTTCAACCATTGTAATTTTGTTTCCACTTGTCTCATTATGTATATCTCCATTTGGCGCAGATGCTGTTTTAGCAGATTCTTCTGACTTAACTAATTTCTCTTTTGTCATTTTTACTTCATCATCCAATTTTTTCTTTTCTTCCTGAATTTTCTGTTATAGAAGAAAAAAACTGTTATAAAATGACAAAGTTTAAAATTGAGAATGGAAATGGGGAATGTATTGTAAAGAAATAAATAAAATGATTCATTTAGTATCATTTACATGCTGCAGAGGTTGGAATTTTTTAAATCTCTATACCTGGGACTTGGTATTCATGGATATTAAAGCAACTCAGCCTGTCATACTCTATTTGTCATTAACAAAATATAATATTAATAAAACAGCCTGCAACATTACCAGAAAGGAGTTAAACAGATGGATGAATTTTCAACACATGCTGAGAAAAAAGATAAATATTATCAAGACAATTGGGTACGCAGAATTGAAGCAAGTTGGACTAACAGAAGTTCCTCAGGTAAAAGGAGATAATGTATATGCGCATAATTTTTTATATACTACCCCAAATATTCCAGGTTACTCAACAGAAAAGATATTTTGATCAGTTGACAAAAAAATAATTTCTCTCTACAATGACTTTAAAAGGGCTTTTCTATCCACGCTTGGCTAAATCATAAAGTGAAAGTCCTATATATGTTTAAACCTAGCCAGAATTTTTTTTCAAACCTTGTGCTGACAACTTAAAATCATAGTATTAAAAACACTTATAAATGTATTGTTTTCTTAAGCACATTATATTATTTAACCTTTGGTTCTTGCAGAGTAGCATTATCTAAATAAATGTGGATAGTGTCCACATGTGGACACAGATGATGCCCCCGCTTGCATATCATATAGCTATAAATGGACATAACTGAAGAACAGTAAAAGTGACACTACCCAAATTTGAACTTGATCTGAGTTTTGTGGTAATAAGCATTGTGTGTAAGTCTCATAACATTTGGTTGAGGCTAACTTAAGTAGAGAACAGAAACTAAAAATTCAGCAATTTTTCTATTTGTAAACATGCATTACTCTAGAACGGTTGTGTATAAGTTTTATAACATTTGGTTGAGACAAACTAAAGTTAGAGAATGGAAAGGAAAAATTCAGCAATTTTTATGTTTATAAAGGGACATAACTCAAGAATGGTAAAAGTGTCGCCACCAAATTTTGTACTTAATCTGTATTATGTAGTACATGTAATAAGTATTGTGTATAAGTTTCATAACATTTGGTTGAGGCAAACTAAAGTTAGAAAACGGAAACAAAAAATTTGTACTTGATCTTAGTTTTGTGGTAATGAATATTGTGTATAGGTTTCATAATGTTTGGTTGGGGCAAACTTAAGTTACAGAATGGAAACTAAAAATTTTGAAATCTTTTGATTTATAAAGGGGCATAACTCAATAATGGTTAAAGTGACACTACCCAAATTCAACTTGATCTGTGTTTTATCAGTGGAAGTCAAAATTAAACATTGCATTGTATAAAGCATTGATTGTAGTTGATTCAACTATAATCATGGACAAAGGAAGATAACTCCAATTTTTAAAAATTACTTGATATTTAGAAGAAAATAAAAATTTTGCAATTTTTCCATTTATAAAGGGGCATAACTCTAGAACTGTTTAAGCGACGCCACCAAAATTCAAACTTGATCTGTGTTTTGTGGTAATAAGCAGTGTGTATAAGTTTCATAACATTTGGTTGAGGCAAACTTAAGTTAGAGAACAGAAACTAAAAATTTTGCAATTTTTCCATTTATAAAGGGGCATAACTCTATAACGGTTAAAGTGTCGCCACCAAAATTCAAACTTGATCTGTGTTTTGTGGTAATAAGCATTGTGAATAAGTTTCATAACATTTGGTTGAGGCAAACTCAAGTTAGATAACAGAAACCAATTTTGGGACGTACGTACGTACGTGCAGACGCCCAGGGTAAAACTTAATGCCCCCACCACTATGGCGGGGGCATAAAAATATCAGATATTTTAGAAAACAGAATAAATATTATATAAAGATGGATCACTGACTCCTGCAAGTTTATATACAGGTAATTGATACGAAATATTTGAAAGCTCTTTAAGGTTAAAAGTTTTCAAATTTCTAAGCATTCTATTATGAATAAAATGGTTTATTATCATTGGTAAACTGCAACAGGGGTCTACTACCAGGAAATGTTTGTGAATTATGTATCAAATAAATAAAAATTGATAAAACACCACATCTTTCCCAAACATAGACATGAATGCAAATTGTAACCAAATCATTCCAAGCTATGACAAGAAAAGTCACTGAAATGTGTTCTGACATGCAAAGTAGTAACACAGATCATAAAATAATATTTAGCTGAAAATTACACCTGTTGGCAATTTTTCACAATAAATGCTGATGGGTGTCTGAATTGCAGACTGAAAAAAAACATAATTTTAAAATCAAACAGGGACTAATGGAATTGCACAAAAATCTCATGCATGGATATTATATGCAAAAGATCATTCATGACAAGGCTCGCAACTTGATTATTGTTGAAAACCACATGTTGATCTCTAGATGTCTCTTGAAATTTTTGTGTTAGGACAGGTACATTACCAAGAGGAAAGATAAGCTTGTTTGTGTAGTCACACATCCATCTTTTAACATGGCCAGTGATGGATTAATTTGATTCTGAGTACAATTAATATACTGCATAAAAAACTATAAACCTTCAGTTCTGTTTGAAATTCAGATTTTTCTTTTTGAGCTGTATCCTTTTCTTTTTCAATTTCTGCAAGCTTCTTTTCTACAGCTTTTAAGGATGTCTCTAATAAACTTCTCTCTTTTTCAGCTCCCTGAATTCAATAGCATATTGCATGCAGTTATCATGGTATGTATACTACAGTGACTATAAGGTCATCTTTGAGATTACAAATAAAAAAAGACCATTTCACATTCTAGGTTTTAAATAAAATTAACAAACATTGGACATATACTCAAATCTCTATTCACTAATATTTGACCACTCTTCAGAAAGTTACTGTTTTTGATTGTGATTATTACTGGTCTGACTTTATATATATATCAAACCGGAAATATAACTAAATCATACCTGAATTTCAGAACAAATAAGCTATATATCTGGTATATACTAAAGTCAAGTTTGTTTTTAAAAAAATCTACTGACCCAGTTTCATCAGCCCTCAGTATATTAAACTAGAGGCTCTCAAGAGCCTGTGTCACTCACCTGATTCTACTTTGGTTTTAAAAATCATGTAAAAATAGATTAAAATCATAACAGATACCCTAATAATGATTGAGGCCAAATTTGGTTTAATATTGGCCCCGTAATTTAATAAAAAATCCTGGTGGCCTTCTTGAACAGTAAATCGGCAACAAAGTAACAACACTTCATCAGCACCTCATAAGGAACATTTATGCCATGTTTGGTTTCATTTCATTCAGTGCACCTCTAGAAGAAGCATTTGTATGTATTTCCCATAGGGTCTTATGTTAAACTAAGTCCCCTGCTGGCGGCCATCTTGGATGATGATTCGGCTAGAAAGTAACAGCACTTGGTCAGCACCTCATTAGGAACATTCATGCCATGTTTGGTTTCATTCTATTCAGTGGTTCTCTAGAAGAAAACATTTGTATGTATTTCCCATAGGGTCCTATGTTAAACTTACTCCCCCTGCTGGCAGCCATCTTGGATGACAAATCAGCTACAAAGTAACAACACTTGGTCAGCACCTCAAAAGAAACCTTCATACCATGTTTGGTTTCAATCAATTAAGCGGTTTTCCAGAAGAAGACATTTGTATATATTCCCCATAGGGTCCTTTGTTAAACTAAGTCCCCCGTTGGCAGCCATCTTGGTTGATGGATTTGCTACAAAGTAACAACACTTGGTCATTCCATTCAGTGGTTCTCTAAAAAAAGACATTTGTATGTATTGTCCATAGGGTCCTATGTTAAACAAGTCCCCCCCCCCTGGCAACCATCTTGGATGATGGATCGGCTTCAAAGTAACAACACTTGGTCAGCACCTCATAAGGAATATTCATGCCATGTTTGGTTTCATTCCATTCAGTGGTTCTCTAGAAGAAGTTCAAAATGCAATAAGTTAACATCGACGGAAGACGGACACCAAGTGATGAGAAAAGCTCACTTGGCCCTTCAGGCCAGGTGAGCTAAAAACAAAATTGATAAAACGATGTCCAGTAGACCAAAAAATCACCTTCAACCTATTCAAATACCAACAAGTTTTAAAAAAAAGCATAGAATATTAAAATCAGCTCTAAATACAAACCTTTAATTTGACTTCTAATTCTTTTGACACATTATCATTTCCCGATAATGCTTTATTAAGATCTTGTAGTTGACTCTTGACATCAGAACATTCCTTTTCTGCAGCCTTTAAGTTCTTTGATAAATTATTTTTCTCTGCCTCACTCTTCCTTAACTGTTGATTAACCTCATCTACCCTCTTTGACCAAACACCTTCACTATCACCCTACAAAAATTATACTTAAATATCAAATAAACTATACAAAAATAGTAACATGTTCTTTATTGGCAGTCTGTAAGCAAATCATGCATTTTTAAAGACCAAAGTTTAATATTGCCAATCAGTTGTTGGGTTCGCATGAAAAATGAACAAAGATACTTAACTTACCTATCCAAGAAAAATATAAACAATTAAATTAACAAATTAAATGATAACAGTTTGCAAATGGGCCTTTCAGAGATTATTCATCAATTGCAAAAACAAAATGAATTTTTAGCATCACCCTAAACCTAAGTGTTGGTCAAATTAGCTCAAAATAAAATCTTCTTAAGGTCTCACTATATCACTCATTACATATATGAACAAAATTTAAGATACCGTAATAAACCCTTGAATCAACATAAATTATGTAAAAATTTTGAAAAGCTTGAGTCAAACTCTGTTCATTTAAAACCTAACATCATATAATTTGGAGTCCCTCAAAGAAAAATAAACATAATTTGGTATATTACTTGGTAGTAAAAATGAGGAACAAAAATCAGAATTTCATGTTAATTATTTGCCAAATACGTATTACCAGTAGAAAAATTTATATACCAAATTAAAATATCCAACCTGAGAGCATCAATAAAAGAAAATCATATAAAAAGAGGAAGACTAATTTTTTTTTTTTCACCAGATGGCCTCCTAATAACTGTTTCATTCCACAGTTATTTTTATCTATATTTACTTATCTTTGTAAACATTAGAAGTGAACTGTTTTCTCTGTAACATTTTTTCTTAAATAAGTCTATTTAGCAATATTATTGATGCTGATTTTTACATTAACATACCAGACTAACAATAGCATGTAAACAATTGAAGTGTTGTGACCTCAGATAAGTTGTATACGTTGACTTTGACTTACTGAGATGACTGTAATTTTTACAATAATGACGCAATACATGACATTTTTCTATGTTTCCAATATTACTGAACAGTTGTCACTACAAGTAATTTTCTAGTGGCTAATACTAATTTTGTTTTCATTAGTGGACCGTTTTATCAAATAAGAAAAAAAACATAACACCTCTTCTGTATTATTCATTTGTTGAGGACCAAATTTACAGCTGCAATAAATTTTGCTAAACACTTCAATACTGATAGTGCATGTCCTAGGTTACGGGAGGGTTGGGATCCTGCTAACATGTTTAACCCTGCCACATTCTGTATGTATGTGCCTGTCCCAAGTCAGGAGCCTGTAATTCAGTGGTTGTCGTTTGTTGCTGTGTTACATGTTTGTTTTTCGTACATTAATTAGGCCGTGAGTTTTCTTGTTTGAATTGTTTTACATTTGTGATTTCATGGCCTTTTATAGCTGACTAAGCGGTATGGACTTTGCTCATTGTTGAAGGCCGTACAGTGACCTATAGTTGTTAATTTCTGTGTCATTTGGTCTCTTGTGGAGAGTTGTCTTAATGGCAATCATACCACATCGTCTTTTTTATATGAATAATTTTTCTGACAATGATCATGCTTTTGTGGCGCTTTTTTAATAGGTTCAAATTTATATAGCATCAATTAATTCTTTGAGGTGAGTGACCTGAGAATCATAATTTTGAATTTAAATAATTGTAAATCTTAAACCTTTAAACTATATTTGGGACTCTTTCCACAAATTTGAACGAAGCAAATAATGCATGTTAAATAGCTTTAACACATTAATTAGAAATACCTGTACTCCAATTAATTTCTTCTTTTCTTCTTCATATTTAGAAAGTTTACTTTCCAGTGTTCTTCTTGTATTTTCACTCACATTCAATTTAGAACAATTATTTGACAATTCATTTTCCATTATGGAAACCTTTTGTCTCAAACTGATAAATTCTGCTTGAGGTACAGCTTCAGCCCTACAATACAAAAACAATAGATATAAGAAGATATGGTATGAGTGCCAATGAGACAACTCTCCATCCAAGTCAAAATTTATAAAAGTAAACCAATTTAGGTCAAAGTATGGTCTTCAACACGGAGCCTTGGCTCACACCGGACAGCAAGCTAAAAGGGCCCCAAAAATTACTAGTGTAAAACCATTCAAACAGGAAAACCATCGTCCTAATCTATGTAAAAAACGAGAAACACTTATGAACCACATCAACAAACGACAACTACTACACATCAGATTCCTGACTTAGGACAGGTGCAAACAATTGCAGCGGGTTTAAACGTTGTAATGGTAACAAACCTTCACCATTATCTGAAACAATAGTGTAACATCACAACATAGAAAGACACACTATAAAATATCAATTGAAATGGCTTAACTCAATCAAAAGAAATATTAATGCTTATTTTTACCACCTGTAGCCTATTGATTTGCCTTTCTCTTTCTTTTTGAACAAAAAAGAAGAATGTGTCTGAGGATACGAATGCCTCCACTCAAAATTTGCACTTTTTCAAGTTAAAAAGGGGCATAACTCTAGAACACTAAATGACTCACTGCCAAAATTTGATCTCTGTCTGCGTGTTGTGGTTCTAAGCATTGTTTATGAGTTTTATAAAGTTTGAATGAGGCAAACTTAAGTTAGAGTGCAGAAACACAAAAATTTGCAATTTTCCTAGTTATAAAGTGGCATAACTCTAGAACAAAATGACTCATGGCCCAAATTCAAACTCTGTCTGAAAGTTTTGGTTCTTAGCATTTTGTATTAAGTTTCATAAATTTTGGATGAAGAAACTAAGTTAGAGTGGACAAACGAAAAAAATTTCAATTTTCCATTTCCCTTTTCATTGATTCCATTTCCTTCTATAAACCTAAAGTATGTAGATTTGGTTGGTCAACAATGAAAATAAATTGCTTTGCTGAGCGCAGCTGCATACGACCGCAGATGTCCAACCCTGAAAAGTTGGGGCCAAAATGGACACAATATTCACTCTTCATACAGGTCTGAATTTGGATTGTAACTAAATTTTTGACACATTATAGGTTTCTGACACAGAATAACTGTAGTCAAAGAACTTCAAATTGGTTATATGATTTGAATTTATATTCATTTTTTTGCTTTTGTGCAATACACCATGCTGTTGAATATTAACCCCCAAAAAAAAATATTTGAAGAAATTTTCTTTTAATTTCTGAAATCTGAAATGAGAGAAATTGTCCCCCCTCCAATTTTTTTCACCTCCCCCCTTATTCCAAAAAAAAAAATCTTTCCCTCAAGATATGGTAAGTATCTCAATTCAAATTTCTAATGGAGTTTGCAACCATAATTACCCATTTAAATACATCATAAAAGTTTTAAAATATAAAATGACAAACATAGTCATGGCTAAAATTAATATTAATTAATAGTAACTGCTAAAAATAAATTGACAGCTAATCACCTCAAGACAATCATCATTTCTTAATACATAATTTACAAGCAGTGTAAGGGAGGTAATCAAACAGTGTTCTTTTAATTGATTTGGATTACCTCCCTTACACTGCTTTTAAATTGTCTCAATTGTCCTTTAACAAGAAAAACCCTTGTTTTTCCCCTTTTTTTTTGCCCCTTATTACTAATTGGTTTGAGCCATAACCCCCCAAAGTCAATCCTAACCATCCCTTTGTAGTATGGAAACTTGTGGTATAATTTCAGAGAGATTCATACACCTTTACACAAGTTATTGTCTGGAAACTACAAAAATGCTTATTTGGGCCCCTTTTTGGCCCCTAATTCCTAAACAGTTGGGACCATAAACCCAAAATCAATCCCAACCTTCCTTCAGTGGTTATAAACCTTGTGTTAAAATGTTATTGATTTCTATTTACTTATACTAAAGTTATTATCCGGAAAACCATCTGTCTTCGGACGACGCTGACGACGACATGATACCAATATACGACCAAAAAATTTTTAATTTTTGCTGTGGTATAAAATTTTTTTTAATTTTTGCGGTTGTATAAAAACCAGAAAGATCAACCTTATACAAAATTAATCTGACTTTGGTCTTAAACTTGAAAATTAACAACAATGCAAAGAAAAAAAAGAACCCCATATTTTGTCACTAAATTACACTCGACCAATTATTTAGAAATTATGCTGCAAAACTTTAACCATATGAACATCTCTGTATATATGCACACATTCCCATTTTTTTATGGAAAAACTACTTACTTGACTCTTTCATATTGCTCTTTCAATTTTTTGTTTTCCTACAAAACATAGAAAAAAATTAATTGTATGCACCATCAGTTCTATGTTGTTTGTTTTCATGGTCTACCTAAATAATGACATCTACCAATTTCATACTTACATTAATAACGCATGGGTTCAAGGTTTGATTAAATCATTTGCAAAAATTTGGAGGTTATCTAAATCAATTGGACAGAGAAAATTTGTACATCACTTGTCAAAGGTCAACGTTTTAACCTGTGCACTCCGGCAGACACTTCCACTATACCTATAATATGGGTTAATGTTCAAGATTGCCCTCATCATTTTCAAAAATAGTGAGATTCACTTATATTGGACTGAGATAGAATTTGTAGATTACTGGACTGAAATAGAATTTGTTCATAACTGGACTGAGATAGAATTTGTAAATCACTTGTCAGTGGTAGATGATGTACCCCTGGGCACTCCTGCATCCTCTACCAATAAAACTATGGCATAAGTTCAAGGTTTGGTCTGGTCATTAATAATTTTTTAAGAGATAAGTTTATCCTATGCACATATTGTTTTAATGTAAATCAATGACTCTTTTGTTATTTGGAGACATAACATGTTCTATGATAAATATCTTAAACCGATTACGCTTGATTTTATTAAGATTTTAAAATTACTACTCTATTGCCCAAAGATGCAGAATTTTGCAATAATGATCCAGATTATTTTGGTATTTCAATTTAAGACACTGTCAGATTTTTTTTACATCTTCTTTTTTTAGAAACATTTGAAATTCAATGATTTTGACAAGAATGTTAAGGGAAATATTCAAACGTGCATATTTTTATATGTCATTAATAATAATTTGCTCAATAATTTCCAGAAAGAGGCATTAAAAATCCCCTTTCTCAACAACAACAAAAATAAATAACTATTACTCTCTAAATTGGTGTTCATTCTTCATTAAGGAAAAAATACATTTCTTGTAATCAAATATACATGTACAAATACCTAATGCTGAGATAATTCCAATTACTGTTAAATAGCAATATAATGGGGAATACACAAATAAATTTATTGCAGAAATTGCTCAGGTAAGAGATATGCAATTGTGTTTATTGTTTAAACCAAATTACTGATAATTGTAAATTAAATAGACCTTAGTTATTAACTTATGTCAGATGATTATGACATTGATTTTACAAGTGAAATAAAATCTGGTTGCATTTTCTTGTACATATTCTATTTTAAGTATTTTCTTTGAAAAAAAAACACATCTTATTAATCAGTCAGCTTTCACACAAAATTTACAGAATAATTTTATGTAGTGTTGATTAAAATAAATAATAGGTACACTATTGAGGTCAAGATTTTGTGTATTCAGTTAGATGTGTAATAAATTGAATGCACAAATACTTGACCTCAATACCATTATGATTATCAACTGTCATGATAAATTAACTGTGGTCAATTAAGACCGCATTTGAGTGGAGTTGAATCCAATTAATTCTTACAGCTTTGAATGTAATTTTTTGCAAATTGTGACAGTTGTCTATCATACTGGTATTGTATCAATACTCTTACTTGCCTAATGAAAGAATGGGAATAATAGCATTTCAAAAAAGTGTGGGAATCAACTCTGATACCACTACACATCTCGATCCAAATTTTACTTAATGGCTTACAGGAACATAAGATTATGATAAAACACTTTCATTTTTCTTATCAACTGCTTAAATTTAATAAATCACATTTTCCACATTAATTAATAAATGGCAATTTCATATAAATTTTTATTTACAAAGGAACAATATGCTAGTGTATATCTAAAATAAAGAAGTTGTTTACCAAACCTTTTCTTAATTTCAGGACAAATAACATATCAAAAGTTGGCAGTTGATGATTAAAATGGTGCATAAAGTTTCTGCAATTCATAGAAACACATAATTATTTTCATAATATGTCTTCATCTTAGAATTTTGCACCATCTCCAAATACGGATTGATCACATAGATCCAGCATGGCTGAATCAAAAATATATAGTATGTATAAATCAAGTATGTATTTACTGCCTCACGTCATCTCTTTTCCTTTTTTCCTGAGAGGTTACCTAATTTAAAAATTCCTTAAATGACTTTTACAGAAACCTTTGATAATATTATTTACCTCAATAAGCTGTGTATATCTACTCTGATCTCCACATTGCCTTTCAAGCTGCTGAATTCTGGCCTGTGTTGCATTTCTGTCAGCCATATTTTCATTGATAGCTGTTTGCATTCTCAACTGCAGGGCTTGGAATTCCTGTTCTTTACCAGCAACTTTGTCCTGGTACTGTTTCTCAATTGCAGCAAATCTGGCTTTATCTTTCTGTACTTCCTGTTTTAGCTCTTTGTACTTGTTATTGCTAGACATTGCCAGTTGTTGTTCTAAAGACAACAAAAACAAACAAGGGAAAATTACATAAGAATTTTTAAACCTTTTAAGTTTAGAACTTGATGGTTGTCAAATTTTTTATAATAAATAAAAAGGATGTCTAAAAAGACAGTGATTTACACGCATTATTAAAAGTGTTAAATTTGACTCCTCAAGTAACTTGCAGGATAGGAAACTTAAATTGAATGTTTTATTACTTATCAGCATATTTCAAAACCAAACATGGTGGAAAAGAATAAATTTTAGAAAAAGGATACTTTTTGAATGTACAAGTGTGAAGAACATTTCATGCAGGTGATAATTAAATTGCAAGTTGGCTTATTGAGCTAAGAGATTTAATGTTGGTCAGAAGGAAAGGTCAAGCAAATGAATCAGAATATTCTATTTGAATTTCACTAGGTTTGGATAAATATTAATTGTCAGGTCATCATGGCTGCAGTTCAGAGTATACATGTAGCATTATTAAGGGGTCATGACCTAAACTTTTATTCTAAAAGGAGGACCAAAGACACATTTTCTTATGCTTATCTCAACAGCACATCAAATAATTATGTATCATTATTTTTTTCTAGATTAGAAAACTGAGGATACCATAAAAATTTGAAAGATGAAAGAAAAGTTACATCTATGCCAGGCCTTTTGAGAAAGGTAAGACAATAGAACATTACATGTACTGTGTGCTCTCTTTATCCTTGAAAACTGCTTCATAATATTTTACACAATGTTCAACATTATAATCTACCCTGTACATTTCTTTACCAATGGCTATATATCTTAACTCTTTTTCTTCATCTTTGCACATACTGTTTTACAATTTCCTTAAAAGAAATTAAAATTCAGTAAACGTGATAAACCCTGGATTTAAATTTACCTTCTTGCAATCCTTTTTCTTTCTCTTCAAGCTGTCTTTTTAACAATGCAATTGGATCACCTTTCTGGCCTTTCTATAAATGTAAAAATATTCAACATAAACACTCAGAAACCCAATTTTACAATACAAGATAGGACTTTGAAACCAGTTAATATTCAGAAGTGCAGTGAACATAATCTAACATTAGATTTGCATAAAAAAGTTTTATTAAAATACATCTTCACCAAAATTTGCTTAAAAAGTGGCATTTTTCAGTTGTTAAAGAATAAAGCACAAACATCAAGAACAAATAAAATGGTACAACCATATTGACTTGGATGGAGAGTTGTCTCATTGGGACTCATACCACATCTTCTTATATCTAACAACCATCAGTTTTAAAAAGTAAAACTACCCTAAACAAGAGGCTCTCAAGAGCCTGAATCGCTCACCTGTATTTCAGAGGAGAAGATTTTTAAATGTTAGCAAACTTGATGAACAAATTGTTTAAAATTGTCTTTAAAGGGCAATAACTCCTTAACCCTTTCACCGATAGCTGCCCAGACAGAAGCTACTCTGAGACGATGGCTTCCCTGGCTACTATTACTCAAGTGGTAGATCTTCATAATAAATGTCAATAAAAAACTTGTCTGTAGTTATTTGTGTCTTTATTTCATTCACTAACACCATGTTCACAGTTTTGTTCATGTTTTGATAATTTTTTCTTAATAAAATACTCAAATTTTCAAATTTTCGGCATTATCTAGGTGAAATTCTCAAAATTCTGCTCTTTGACCCAAAATCGTAATTTTTTAACCCAAAACGACAAAATTTTAAAAAATTTAATGAGGCTGTACAAATTCCTTACACTGAATGATGTCCATTCCAAGTGTTTTGTACATAAAACGACATTTTATGTCAAAGAAGTATCTAGTTTGGCTTCAATTCTTCCATATTCTTTGAAAAATTTCCGTAAATTTCCTCTGATTTTGACACGGTTTTCAACAAACGGAAGCGCAATGTTTACACTTTCATCCGGGTATTCAACAAAGAAAGATAACTCGTGTTTGCACTGTTTTGAGCGGGAAATATAACAGAGGTATTCCAATCCCGGTAAAACGGGACTCATCGTCAGCTGTCTGAAGCGTGAATCCCGGTAAACCGGGACTCATCAGCGAAAGGGTTAAGGGGTCAATTGACAATTTTGGTCATATTAACTTTTTTGTAGATCTTACTTTGCTGAACATTATTGCTGCTTACAGTTTATATATATCTATAATAATATTCCAAATAATAACAAAAAACTGCAAAATTTTGTTAAAACTACCAATTCGGTGGCAGCAACCCAACAATGGGTTGTTCGATTGTCTGAAAATTTCAGGGCCGATAGATCTTGACCAATTAAACAATTTAACCCCTGTCACATTTGCTCTAAAAGATTTAGTTTTTGAGATATAAGCCAAAAACTGCATTTGACCCTTATGTTCTATTTTTAGCCATGGCGGCCATGTTTGTCGATGGATACAAACTTCGGATACAATTTATAAACAATTTCAGAGAAGAAGATTTTTAAATGTTAGCAAACTTGATGAACAAATTGTGTAAAATTGTCTTTAAAGGGCAATAACTCCTTAAGGGGTCAATTGACAATTATGGTCATATTGACTTTTTTGTAGATCTTACTTTGCTGAACATTATTGCTTCTTACAGTTTATATATATCTATAATAATATTCCAAATAATAACAATAAACTGCTTCGCTGTGCGCAGCTAGATACGCCCGCAGAGGTCCAACCCTGAACAGTTGGGGCAAAAATTGACACAATATTCAAGCTTGATTCAGGTCTGAATTTGGATTGTAATTAAATATTTGACATATTATAGGTTTCTGAATAAATGTAGTCAAAGAACTTGAAATTGGTTACATGAATTGAATTTATATTCATTTAAAAGATTTCTTGCTGCTGTGCAATACTTAGTAAATCAGTTGTCAAGACTATAAACAAATCAAGTTCAATTAATTCTCAATGTCATATTAGAAATTTATGAAAATAAAAAGGGAGCTTACATCAATAGATATAAACAATTCACCAAAGTTTCATGAGAATTGGTGACAGAATTTTTGAGTTATTGTCTGAAAACTGGAAAATCACCCCTTTTTTTAATGAATAAAACCCCATAACTCAGAAATGTAAAATGTAAAATTTATAAAATTCTAAAGGGAGCTTACATCAATACATACAAACAATTCACCAAAGTTTCATAAGAATTGCTGAAAGCATTTTTGAGTTTTTGTCTGAAAACTGGAAAATCCCCCCTTTTTTATGAATAAAACCCTGTAACTCGAAAACGTAAAATCTAAAATTTATAGAAATCGAAAGAGAGCTCATGTCAATAGATATAAACAATTCACCACAATTTCTTGCAAGTTGGTGAAAGCATTCTTGACTTATTGTCTGAAAACTGGAAAATCCCCCTTTTTTTAATGAATAAAACCCCATAACTCGGAAACGTAAAATCTAAAATTTATAAAAAACGAAAGGGAGCTCACGTCAATAGATATAAACAATTCACCAAAGTTTTATGCAAATTGGTTAAAGCATTTTTGAGTTAATGTCCGACATGTTGACGACGGACAGACGGACGGACAGACGGACAACGGTATACCATAATACGTCCCGTAAACGGGCGTATAAAAAACTGCAAAATTTTGTTAAAACTACCAATTCATAGGCAGCAACCCAACAATGGGTTGTTTGATTCGTCTGAAAATTTCTGAACTGATATATCTTGACCAATTGAACAATTTTACCCCATGTCAGATTTGTTCTAAAAGCTTTAGTTTTTGAGATATAAGCCAAAAACTGCATTTGACCCCTATGTTCTATTTTTAGCCATGGCGGCCATGTTTGTCGATGGATCAAAACTTCGGATACAATTTATAAACTAGATAGCCTAAGGAACATTTATTTAAAGTTTGAAGGTATTTGGCCCAGTAGTTTCAGAGGAGAAGATTTTTTAAATAGTTTACGACGACAGACGACGGACGCCAAGTGATGGCATAAGCTCACATGGGGCCAAAAGGGCCCCGGTGAGCTAAAAACAATATAATCTTGCTTTTACCTTATTCCAAGATTCAATAGTTGTGGATTGATCAGTTCCACTTTGTCTGTTCAGAAGAATATCAATCAATTTTTGTATTTCCCCATCATTTAATGATGCACTTTGAATGGATGATACAATCTGCCTGACATCATTTTCTAAAAAAAAAGACAAAAACAGTTATTTATTAATTTATTTAATAGCTACATAAATATGATAAATTGCTTCGCTGAGCGCAGCTGGATAAGACTGCAGAGGTCCAACCCTGAACAGTTTGGGCAAAAATGGACACAATATTCGTGCTCGATACAGGTCTGAATTTTGATTGTAATTGAATATTTGACACATAATAGGATTCTGACACAGAATAACTGAAGTCAAAGAACTTCAAATTGGTTATATGATTTGAATTTATATTCAATTTTATTATTTTGTGCAATACACTATGCTGTTGCGAATTGCCCCCCCCCCCCCCCCCCCCCAAAAAAAAAGTAATATTAAAAGAAATTTTCTTTTTAATTTCTGAAATTTTGAGGAGAAAATATTGTCTGGTTTGACCCATAACCCCCCAAAGCCAATCCTAACCATCCCTTTGAGGTATGGAAACTTGTGGTACAATTTTAGAGAGATCCATACACTGTTCCACAAGTTATTTTCTGGAAACAAGAAAATTGCTTACTTGGGCCCCTTATTCCTAAACTGTTGGGACCATAACCCCAAAAATCAATCCCAAGCTTCCTTTTGTGGTTTCAAACCTTGTGTTTAAATTTCATAGATTTCTATTCACTTGTACTAAAGTTATTGTCCTGAAACCAAATGTCTTTGATGATGCTGACGCCTACAATATACGTGTATAATAAAAAAAAATTGCGGTCGTATAATAAAGATTGCTTATTTTTCTGTTTGAATATGTCATGTATGTATGAATAAACAATTTCAATAGTGAGCAGATTTTCTGTGAAGTTTCAAAGAATCTGGTTGAAAACCGAAGGAGTTAATGAGTTATTACAGGTTTTAAAAATTTGGTTAAAACAAAACAATCTTGAAAATGCACAAAAATTTGAAAAGAAATCCTTGAAAAATATCATAAACATGATAAAAGCAGCGGCACAACTTATATGTGTGAATTCCAACTGTGAAGTTTCATTTATCAGGGTTGAAACCAATCTTTGGGAATTTTAGCTGAGGTGAGTTTGTATCTCTAGTTTCAGGGAGAATGACCTCCTTTTTAACAATGGGTCGATTTGGTGCGAGTCCTTTTGAAGGTTGAGATAAGAATGATAAGTTGGAGAAAGTGGGTTGAGTTAGTGGAAAATTAAGGAATGAAATTGTCCTGCTTTCCATGTACTCCTACACTGTATATTTTAAATAATATAACAGTTCTGAATGTAATATTATATCTCATAACAGGCTGATATCAAATTGAAATTAAACAAAAGAAATGGAACTCTTTCATTAAGTAGGTAAACATGGGCAACTTCCAATTGGTATATTTGGATTGTTGACATCTGTTTCTATGGCCTTTTAAAGTTTAATGTAGGTGCATAGTTAAGATTCATTGTATCTTATAGTACAGAATTACAATGTACATGTACATGTAGGAAATATTTGAAATCTTTTTTAATAAAAATTTTTTTTTTGTAAAACAGCAGATTATAGTAGGTGCAAATACTTTTGGATCTTGCAGATTTTATCCTGAAAATGTATAAAACAAGATTGCAACATCATAGCAAGATGTATAATTGTGTGCCATTGTGGTTACGACAGTCAAAATACATGTATGGTAAAAATCCCATAACTCCCATATAAATTGTCAAATCAAAATGACAGTATAATGTGGTCAAATACACATGATAGCAAACAAGTTGCATTCACAAGGTGTTATTGTAACAAAATTTAAATAAATGGGGAATGTGTTCGATGCCCTCACTTGCATATGTCATGTATGTTATAAAGGGACATAACTCAAGAATAGTTCAAGTGAGGCTACCCAAATTCGTTCTTGATCTGAGTTTTGTGGTAACAAGCATGTGAATAAATTTCATAACATCTGAAAGAGGCAAACTTGAGTTAGAAAACGGAAACGAAAAATCCAGCAATTTTTCCATTTGTAAAGGGGCATAACTCTAGAACGGTAAAAGTGACGCCACCAAAATTCAAACTTGAACTGGTTTTTTTTTTGTGGTAACAAGCATTGTGTATAAGATTCATAACATTTGGTTGAGGCAAACTTAAGTTAGAGAACGGAAGCAAAAAATTCAGCAATTTTTTCATTTGTAAAGGGGCATAACTCTAGAACGGTAAAAGTGATGCCACCCAAATTCAAGCCTGATCTGCATTGTTTTGTAATAAGCATTGTGTATAAGTTTCATAACATTTGGTTGAGGCAAACTAAAGTTAGAGAACAAAAAACCAATTTCGGGACGTACAGACGGACAAGGGTAAAACTTAATGCCCCCACCAGAGCGGTGGGATAAAAAAGATGGTAAAAGTCCTATAACTCCTGTAAAAATAGTTGAATTTAAAAGGCAGTACAATATGATCAACTACACAGGATGGCAAACAACCTAACAACATTTGAGAGCTTTCTCTAGAATGAACTCAGAAGATATGTGTTCACAAGGTGTCCTTACAATACTAAAAAAAATTGCCAAAGTCCTAAAACTCCTGTAAAAATGGTAAAATCAACTGATGCATGTTCAAGATAATATGATGACAAATATTCCTACCATACAGCATGTTTAAGATAATATGACGACAAATATTCCTACCAAGTATGAAAGCTTTATGGCGAATGGTCTCTAAGTATTGATGTGTTATGGACAGACAGAGAACATTATCATATCCTCTGAAGCATGACGCACCAGGACTAAAATATTTATTATACATTGTATCATCTCTGTTCATATCCCATTATTTTCATTCATGTTTTATATTTAATTACATTAAAAATTTACAGTACCATGAAATGAAATATATAGGTTAAGTGAAATACCTTTCTAATGAGTCATTACAACAGAATAGTTGTGTTTGAATAACAACAACAAAAACTGTCACTACAAATGACAATACTTAAATTTTTAACCAAAAAGCCCTTGACAACAGACTTGACTTTTGGATCTTAAAAATGCATTTTATGTATGTGTTTTCTTGTATTATTAGTCTTCAACCACTGAAATTTCTGCCTTGCCCTTCCACAAAATATATAAATACAATTTTTTTTTTGTTTTATTGAATGTGTTTTTTTTTAAATTCACCCTGATATCCAACCAGGCAGGCAGTATTTTAAGTTGACAAAAGGCCTAAAGGAACTATTAATTATTAATAGCTAGTATATAAATTTTATTATACAATCCAACTTTCATGTAAGAATCCTAATGATTCCACATCAATAAACTTATCAGTTTTCAAAAACTTAATTGACTGTATCATCTCTACAATTGTTTCAATTTTCATGATTGAGAAATTTGGTTGTATATTGGAAGATAATATCATGAATGTCGACGAAGTAAAATTCTGACTGTTCAAACTCACCTAATGCTTTCTTAACTTTCTTCTCTGGAGTTGGTGCTGCAGCTTGAAGTTTCTGAGTCTGCACTATAACCATGTCCTCTACAACTGGCTGTGCTTTTTTAACTTCTTTCATTTCAATTTTAATCTTTTCTTCTTTCTTTGGTTTGGTATGTGATGTTTTTCTTTCTTTTTCATGTTCATGGAGTAATTCTACCTCATCTTTTGGAGTTGCCTTAAAATGAATTGTCTCTTGCATTTGAGGTGCAACTTTTGGCTTTTCATCTTTGTTTAATAGTATAGGTTTTGGGTTTTTCTTTGCCTTTGACTTTGGTTTACTTTCCTGGTCACTACTTAACTGTGGTTCAATGATTTCTGGTTCAATTTCCAAGTTTACCATTTTTCTCTCTGGCTCTGTATCATTCACCTGTTGCACATTCTTTTCTTTTGGCTTGTCTTTACTTTTCTTTCCCTTTTTCTTTTCTTTCTCAGCTTTCTTTTCTTTTCTAACCTTATCTTGCTCAGCTTCTAGTCTCTTCTTCTGTTCAGCTATAGCCTCCTCATACGACTTCTCTTTGAATCCAAATGCAGATATTAGATATATCAGCACAGCTGAGACAACAAAGGCAACAATACCTATCATGATAACCTGAGGATCCATCCTGAAAATTTCTAGACAACCCGATGGGATACTTTTTACCAAGTTTACCACGCCCCTCTCTGTAACAAAAATATGCAGCAATATTTAAATTAATTCTATAATCACTGCTTGACCTTACCTATAATTTAATACTTTCCACAAAAAAATGTTTTCGTAATCCAGTATACAGAAAAAAATACCCCGGTGAAATTAACGAAAACCGCAGCCAAGTAGTCCACGTCGGCAAACTTTTAATTTAACAAAAAGCTGAATGATAAGCTGACATTTTCTACATTCCTAATGAAGATCATTCTGTGCAAAAGTGTAATCAAATAGACTCACTATTAATCAACTTTACCTGTAAATAATGTTTCTGTGATAATAAAACAGAAATTTGGTTACGTGTCAGGTCAATTTAATTCGTCCCCCATCTGAGCCTTCGGAATAATGGTGGAATGAAAACTTCCGACGTGTTTTAGTAACAATTATTCTTATTGGACACTTTTCTGCATTGATGTCAGACATCGTCTGCTTTGTTTTGTTACAAATGTGATTTTTTTAATTAAATTCGCCATATAAGAATAAAGGAATATAATTATCCATCCCCAATATGATACAAATGTGATTAAGTTATTTAGCTATGTTCATCACAGAAATTACCTTAATGCAGGAGGAATTTAGATTATCGTTCTCTACCTCATATAATCAATCAGAGGGAGGAATAATTTTGAATGCAACAGCAGAGTAAACAACGCCATCTATCGGCAGTATTTAGCGCACCTGTTTAATTTGCTTCTTTGTCCATAGAAAGCGTCACCCGTCACTTGTGTATTTTCAAATTTATAAAGGCTCAGTAATGGAATCATTAAAAAGAACAGCAGAAGAAGCAGATTCTCTTCTTGAAGGTGTCAAGGCTTTGATTGTTGACATTGAGGGTACAACAACGCCTATCGACTTCGTGAAGGTAAAGTAACGCTTTTTAATCGTTAGCCATGCACAGTGATGCATCTTCCGCATAGCCATAACTAACCGGCATGCTATCTCTGCAGACGTGTTTCGATGGTATTTTATATTTTTTTTAAATATAAATATAAAGTATTGTGATCCAGTTTGACTCAGTATTATGTTTGAAAATCATGAATCAAATAAAAATAATTATTGAATCTGAAATTTGAAATTTGAAAAAAAAAATGCGGGGAAATATAAAAACACATTTGAAAATGCGACATCGGAAGCAGATTAACGTTAACTTAAACCAATTTAAACGAAAAAACTGCGAAGAAAAATGAATTGTTCATGCTGTTGAATCTAGCATTGTACATGTATTGCACACATCATAACCGACGCCATACAAATAAACAAAATTTAGTGTGTGTGTGTGTGATTTTCATTTTGAACGCCTGATATGTGTATAGATTTTTAGAAATAGAGTTATCTCTCTTTTATTGTTTACTGCTATTTGAAATACAGCTACTTATTCTGTTCCTGATATCAATAAACAATGCAATGTCACTATGATCATTGTACTTTTAGATAATGAAAAAATATCTTTGAAACAGTAAGTCAGATTTTGTGTTTTAGAAAACATTTGCATATGAATGTATCATTTTTTCCTTAAAAACACAATTGACTGTTAAATAACTTTAGAAAAACAGAAACTTAAGTAAAATTATTATCAGTCTCTATCATCATTGTGTTTATTCACAAGAAATCAATTTTTGTGATTGAAATTTTGAAACTGATCCTAATGAAATTATACTTATATTAAAAAGTTTATGATACTAATTTATCATATAATTTTAATTATAAAATATGGGGCCAATATATAAGAATATTTTTCATTTTTATTGCCCCACAAAACTTCATTTGATTGATAAAAATTATGATCTTGAAGATGAATTATTGATGCTACATGTATATATTTAGGGTGGTACAGGGTAATTTTCATTTTTATAATGTTAACTTCATTATTAAGTTGTTATTCAGATGTTTAAAGTTGTAAAATTTTTCAATGCTAGTTATGTGATATTATAATTTTAAAAAGTCTATTACATTTACATTATTTCCCCTGATAATTGATCATTAATAATTTTTATTGTTGTGATGAGGATGTTTCTTAAGGGCGGGATTGATTTTTTTGCATTTTTTCAAAGAATTGAAGTTCACGATTTTTTCTTTGATTTGGGGTACATGTACATTCTTTTAACAAATATATATAAATTTTCTGTATCTTAAAATATAAAGTATTAAAATACCAAATCCTGTTAAAAAGGCAATAAAATAGAAAATAAACATGTATAAACTTTATTGCAATTTGCTGAGTTTAGCCAGGTTGTAATAAACAATTTTGCATAATTATCTCCAGTAATTGGCAGAGTCACTAGTGTTTTACCTGCTTTACTGAACTGAACTATAGCAGGCAAAAACTTATTTCTAACACTCCGTTGTTGTTATTTCAAACTTTTATATGTTTCCCTCTTTTAAAGAACTTTTTTCAAATGACTTTACACAAGTAAAGCAAGTCAATTTCAGGATACAATAAGAATGTACATGCAATTAGAATTTTTAACATCACAGTCAACACTTGTACAATGAATGTGTATCTTTTACAAACATATGCATTGTAATTTAAAGAAATTTTCGGTTTCTGGTGATGATTGATTAGTGTTTAACGCCACTTTTAGCAGAACAATTGTGCTATTTCGTGGCGGTCAGTTTTTATTGTCGGAAGAGAAACCACTGATCTTCAGTAGGGAAACTGACAATACTAATCAATTAAGATTGGAGTCAAGCACACCTGCCACATGCAGGATTGGAACTCATTACCTGAGAGTTGACAGGCTAGTGATACAGTAGTTTGACTACTAAGACCACTCAGCCACCAAGGCCTGTTTATGTCAATGAGATAGCAATCAAAGAATGCAAACACAAAAGAAGACCCCAAGACTGAAGAGGCAACTGTTCAGTCTTCAGTCATTAACAGCAATACATGTACATTTCTAAATAGCAATCATTCAAGATGAAGAAACCAATATACTTTGTTAATTGTAATGACTTATTTATAATCTTTTGGAAAATACATGTATATGAGACTAAATTTTAGATGAGACAGCTCTTGTTTTTTTTTTGTGTAGCATGTCAAACATTTGCAGTGTGACTTTACAGGTTTAAGAATGAAATATTGATGATAAAGATATGAAAAAAAAACAAATTATACCAGAAAAAAACTAAACTTCGCATGGCATGTAATTTTCCATGATCATACTAATAAGCTTATATTGTCTTTGTAGGAGACGCTTTTCCCATATGTCAGTGAAAACATAGAGGAATATTTAACAAAAAATTATGATGAAGAGGAAACAAAGAAAGACATTCAGGCCTTGAGAGAATTGGTAAGTCATAAAAATAATTTGTGTTGTGGATAATTCAGTTGCAAAGAGTACAAAGTGGAGTCGATATGAAATCAGTATGTCAAATAAGCCCTTTTAAATAGAACTTTACACCTAGAAATGTTGGTAACAGTGGACTTTTGGTATTTATAAACTTATGGATACTGTGTAGTATATGCACCCTTTAGTGCTTAATCACCCTCTGTTGTATGCTAGCTGGCAGGCACAAGGGATGTGCCATAGTAACATAACAACAAGGTGAGCATTATATAATGCATGCACTATTAGCACCTGAAGTGTGGGGTTCCAGCTAGTGCTTCCTCTAATGAATTTGATAGCTGAATATGTTTTTGTCTGTTCTTATTTAGTGTACCTGTACTCTTATTTTCAGATCTCCAAATATTTATTTGCATTGGAAGTGTAATTATTTTTTTCTTCAACTTATAACTTGATTTCATACATGTAATCAAGGTCTTTACTTAAACAAGTTATGTTGAAAATGAAGCAATTTTAGATAATATCATTGGTATATTAGTTACTTTTGTAAATATAAAGATTTGACCATTCATACAGATTTTAATTGTATAAAAATAAATTCTCAAAGACATCTGGTTATTTTTTTCATGAAGTACAAAACTAAAGCTCCTGATTATGAAGATACACATATAAATGAATGGAAACTTTTGATTTTATTGAGACTTGAATTTATCTATAGTTTGTAAAGAAAGCTATTAAACCAAGAGTTGAAGTTGAAATCATCCCTTCGTAAATTTTACGGACGCCATCACGAGTTGGTTGACCGTAATGGTATAACCGTTTCACAAATGATATCGGATATGTTCCTTATGTCGTAACTACAATACCCTTCACTTTTCACGAATGTGACTTACCGAATTAGACTATTTACCGGATTTGTAATAACATAAGCAACACTATGGGTGCCACATGTGGAGCAGGATCTGCTTACCCTTCCGGAGCACCTGAGATCACCCCCAGTTTTTGGTGGGGTTCGTGTTGCTTATTTTTAGTTTTCTATGTTGTGTCATCTGTACTATTATTTGTCTGCTTGTCTTTTTATTTTTGGCCATGGCGTTGTCAGTTTGTTTTCGATCTATGAGTTTGACTGTCCCTCTGGTATCTTTCGTCCCTCTTTTGTAACCCATTACAAAAACATATTCTCTTATGATATAATTGTAATTATTAATTATTTCACATATGTATGAAATAATATTTCTGGCATCATTTTTAAGGTGATCTTTTATTTAAATTTTCCACTAAATTTAAGAAAATTCTTAAATTTATGTCTTAAAAAAATTGAAATAATCATAAAATCTGCATTTAGTCTGTGCTATTGTTTAAATATATTATTTAGACCCCTCTACCAAGAAATTTGTTTTGAATGCACACGTATAAAAATTGCGGTTTTTATCTAACGTAATCATAGGTTTGAACATTGTTTTCAATTTAGACTTGTGTATATATATATATATACGTCTAAATATGTGATAACATTACGACAGACATTCTCCATCAGATAACCTATGGTTATACAGGGTTAATACCATAATATATAGGTACTTCGTCTCTTACTAAGCTCAACAATGTATCTGCAAATTTGCGTTATTAAATTTTTGTTCTTCCCACAGCGGGATTTGAACCCTGCATCTGAGACATCGTGGCAATACGGCCTGCACTATATCCAGCGCCCTAAACCACTACCCACTATGCTATATAAAAACATAGCTTTCAAAAGTCAAGTAATGCCTTTCATCGTCGGCTCTTTTTAGGGTTTACCCTTGTCCATAGGTACCATAGGTACATACGTCCGTCCGTACGTCCCAAAGTTGGTTTCCGTTCTCTAACTTTAGTTTGCTTCAACCAAATGTTATGATTTGATTTTGATTTTTGGTGTTCTAACAGCACTTTTAAGCACCACTTTTGGGCTATTTCGTGGCGGCCAGTTTTTATTGGTGGAGGAAGCCGGAGTGCCTGGAAAAAACCACCGACCTTCAATAGGAAAACTGACAATCCTAGTCAATTAAGATTGGAGTAGAGTGCAAATTTGAAGAAACTTATACAAAATGCTTATAACCACAAAACACAGATCATGTTTGAATTTTGGTTGCGTCACTTTAACCGTTCTAGAGTTATGCCCCTTATAAATGGAAAAATTGCTGAATTTTTTGTTTTTTCGTTCTCTAACTTTAGTTTGCCTCAACCAAATGATATGAAACTTATACACAATGCTTATTACCACAAAACACAGATCATTTTGAATTTTGGTGGTATCACTATAACCGTTCTAGAGTTATGCCCCTTAACAAATGGAAAAATTGCTGAATTTTTCGTTTCCGTTCTCCAACTTTAGTTTGCCTCAACCAAATGTTATGTAAAGAGAAAATAATAAAAGAGCTTGGGTTTTTTTTACACATGGGTAGCTATAAACCAGATAAGATCAAATGCTGAGATATTTCTTTTACTTCATGCATTTAACATGAATAAGCTAACAAAACATTTATTGTCTGGGATACAAATAATGCTAATAAAATTATAAAACAAGTGTTTTTATTTTCGCTTAACCTTTTCTTTCATGAAAATTTCTGATTTTACAGTTTTTGGAAATGTGAAAAAAAAAATTTGTGTCCAAAATGGTCAAAAAGAAATTGTCCGATTGTTCTTCTATCGAGATTCCCATTCTATGAAGTTCTCTTTTAAATCTTGAAACTGAAGCTCTGCTTGTGCAGTTGATCTTATATTCAATTTTCTGTAAAAGGCTTCATAATAGACAACTTTCGAGTTCGATGCATTTCCGTCAAAAACTTTGGTTTTAGTGAACGTCATTCGTGCGTGTAGGGGCGTCGTCACTTCCATTCCAATGTTGAGCGAGTGGTTGGAAAACTATAATGCTATATTGTACGAAATATTCGGCAAATTGAATTCTCATAATTGACAATCAGCACTGCTGTCATTAGGGAATTGTGATTAAGTACCTACATAACAACAATTATTTCTAGTTTATCCTGCACAATGACGATCACTAAGACGCTTGATGAACGTTAATAGTGCAGGGATACAGGCGATCCCCTCTATCTGGTAAATGGCGTCATAAAGGGGCGCATAATTGACGAGTTTTTTCCGGTGAAGGACAAACTCGAAAGTGGTCTATTAAATTTTACTTTTTTTTTTTTGTGTAAATAAATAATCTAGAATAGGACATGGTTGTCATTAACTTAAAAAACATAGTTATGAAAAAAGTTGTCCTTTACAGCATGAAAATATAACATACATCGTATTTGTTTTTACACCATAACCAATACTTGAATGTGTAAGGCAAATTCATGATACTGAAATACAATGAATGTGTATATTTTGCAGTATAATTGCACTACTGAAATAACAAAAATATTGCTTCATATGAAACATGAACATTGTACCATGTCATACCCAGACTGAGTGATGTGAGTGCTTATGAAACTACCATTGCTTGTGATTTGTCATATTTATGTTAAAGTACCCAAGATTTTTTATTTTTGTTGACAGGCAGCAAAAGACAAAGAAGACAAATGTGAAGGAGTTGTAGGGATACCAGCTTCAGACGGGAGCAAGGAAGATATAGTTAAAGCTGTTGTGGCCAATGTAAAATGGCAGATGGACAAAGATAGGAAATCCACAGCACTAAAAGCCTTACAGGGACACATCTGGAGAGAAGGATATGAACAAGAAAAACTAAAAGCAGAGTGTGTATACAGTATAGCTACATTGTCTAACCTTTCAGTAGAAATCGTATTCTACTACAAAAAATGCAAATTAATGAAGAAGGTTAAAGTCATGTAATGAAAAAAATCCCCCTTCCCCCCAAAAAAATATAACTATATGCAGATTTATTGGAAGATTCAGAGATAAACTATTATAAACACATCACCGATGTTTTCCATTAACATTATTATCATTTATTATTTTTCTCTGAATCTATCTCAAAACTTGTATACATGTACCATCCCTGTATTAAGCAACTGGACAGATAATGTTACAGCCTGTTTCTTTGGTCTCATGGTTGCGCTTTAACATGTCTGTCAACTTCAGCCATAGTATTATGGTACATTTACTGCTATGTGATTTCCTAGCAGGTAGAATACGATGTTATAGATCAGAGAGGGAAAAGGTTCACAGTTACATGTATATGTATTTATAGGTAAAATAGACAAAATACCCTGATGCTTACAATTAATAATTCACTTAGCCAGGATAAGTGATATATGTCAAACTCATGGTTAAGTGGTCAACTTTAAAGTGTCATTCATGTTCTTGATAATAATTTATAAAAACCAGCAAATCTGTACATGCTGTATGGTAAAACATTGTGTAACTGCTCATTGAACACAGAATATTCTTAATTCAAACTGTTTATTATATTCATTTAATTTTACCTGTATATTGTAGATTGTTTGAAGATGTAGGACCAAATCTTCAACAAATAGTAGAAATAGGAATAGCTGTGTATGTTTTCTCATCAGGGAGTGTAGAAAGTCAGAAACTTCTCTTTGCTAATACAGATGATGGCAACTTGTTAGAGGTATTTATTTTACCAATCTTGGTCAAAGGAATTCAAGTTTGATTATGAGTAAAAAGTGATTACATTGTATTTGGTATAAACCAAAGATACATCCATTAAACAGATGGTATTTGGATTTGAATGTCAGATGTACAGTTGATAAATTTAAACATGCATGGTTGATATCATACCACGTAGACCAAATTTATTGATTTAAAAATGGCCATTTATTACATGTATCATTAGTAAACAGACTGTAAAGTATCTATTGATTTAACATTTTATTCCTCTTTATGCAGATTCAGTTCATCTTTATTGGTGTTATATTATGATGTTAGTAATGCTCATGTACCTGTAATTTTTCATCTATAAACTTCTGTAGACAAGTGTTGTAGTCATGCATTCTGAAATTGATGATTTTTTTTCGTATTTAGCTTTTCACTGGTTTCTATGATACAACGACAGGATCTAAAACTGACAAAACAAGTTACACTAAAATAGCAGAGGATATAGATGCTCAACCAGAAGAAATATTATTCTTAACAGATAGTCCAGATGGTGAGATATTACTTTATGTATTTTATTCATTTACACATAGATAAAATAACAGCTCTTAGTTGCCCACAGTTCAAAATATAACAAAGACACCAAAAGATATGGCCCAAACAGATAGTTTTAAAAATAAAGCTGCAACAGTCACTGACAAAATTTCTGACTTTGAACAGACATGTACATGCAATTTGGTCATTCTAGTTTATATTCAACCCTTCCCAGAAATCTCAATCATTGACTTTCAAATTGGTATTTGCTGCTTCTCCTCTAAGCACTCAACATTAAGGAGGTAAATACTTGTTTGCTCAGAGGCATAGTGATGAAAATTCCGAAATTATTGTGAGGTTTTTATTAATGCGAATAATTGTGATTGGGTGAGTAATGCAATAATAAGAATTTGGATTTTGACATCTAATATATATACATATATCTACTGAAATCATAATAATTAATCTCACAATTTTGCCCATTCTTCAAAAATTACAATAATAAATGCACACAATAATTTCTGAATTTACTGTAAATTTTGTATAGATTATATTCAACCCTTCCCTGAAATCTCAAATCACTGAATGTCTCGATCATAGAGGGAAGTAAGAACAAAAAATGAAAACAACACGTTATTAATTTCAAAGCGCTTTTCTGGATTTACCTTAATCAGGAATGGTCAAAGCCGATTATTTGAAAGCTTAGGATGTATAAGGACCGAAACAGTTGAAGAGCTATATGACCAAAAAGTACCTAAAATGAAATAGCCAAATTCATCTAAGGTCAACTTTGCCTGAGGAAGTTGAAACCTTAGTTTCTTTATAATTTCAAAATTTATAAATGGACAATTTAAAAAAAAAGGTTTGTTATAAATCATGTCAGTACCGAAGTACTAACTACTGAGCTGATGATACCCTCAGGGACAAATGATACTATGAAAATCAAGAAAAAAAAACTTTACAAAAGAACAAAACACATCTACCTTTAAATGTTGAATCTTTGATTTGAAGAAGACAATAGAATTAAGAAAACTATAAATTATTTGTTGTGAGCATTTAAGGCAGTAAGTTACACCAAGTTCTCAGATTCTTAACTAAGTTATTTATCTCAAATATTAATAACTGTTGGTGAATGTTAAAAATAAATGCTTATAATTTAATAGAAAATAATTTTTTTTATCCTTCTGATTTTATGTTAGGTGCTTTATTTTAAAAGGCCAAAAGAAATTGCACAGAAAAATAAGTTTTTAAATTAAATAGTTGCATATCTTTCTGTCAGACAGTGTAAACACTAATTTATTCAGCTACAATAATAATGTCTGTATTGAAGAAAAAAATATTTTGAAAGAGAAAGAAGATGGGTATGGTGTCAGACATACTGTTGCTAACTTCTACATCATTTGGTCTCTGATTCTGAGTTGTCTCATTGATAATCATACCACATCTTCTTATTTTTATACTCCAACTTAATTAAGAATCTTAGAGGGTTGTATGTTGGACGTTTTACATGTAAAACCATCTTATTTGAATTTCATATATGCAAGAAACACATTGAAACAAGCAAATAACATAACATAAGTTGGCAAACTTGTATGTAAAAAAAAGAACACAACCTGACAAAAAATATATTTGATAATATTTTTAGACCTTGAAACACTCTGATCCGAAATAAATAATACCTGCATTCCAATAAAGTGTTGTGTCCTTATCTATTATTTCAATACATAATATATATTTTTCTTGATACTTTATGTCTTCAGAGGCTGCAGCAGCTGTGAAGGCAGGTTTACGTAGCGCAATAGTTGTGAGAGAAGGCAATGCTGAACTATCGAATGAAGTTTTCCAGAATTATTTGGTGATAGAATCATTCAATGAACTGTTTGGTGATGACGATGAGGAAGATTTCAAACGAATAGCAGGAGACAATGGTGAAGTAGATGATGATGAAGATGGAGAGGAAGATGATTTGGAGGGAGAGGATGATGACGAAGAGGATGTTCCTGAAGATGATGATGATGAAGATGATGCATAAACTTGCATAAACTTGACAATGTTATGAATGTGTGTGACCAAATGAAATTGGAAAAGAAATCATATGTTACAGAATGTTGTTTTAATTGTTTCATTTGGATCTAATGTTAATTTATACTGTTAGTGATACTATTACATATCTCAATTAAAATTACACATGTTTGATTTGTAAAGACTATATCATGTTAACCAAATGTGTAATTTTAATTGATTTCTACTCAATTTTTTTGCATTCATTAGTTTTACGTTCTGGACTATGAATCAGTTACTGTTTCTGTCCTATAAATCTATAAACCCACTAAATGATCTCAGACAGGATTTTCATGTCTCTAAATTGAAATCTAATGAAACAATGCAAACACAGATTCATGATTGTGACAATGCTCATTACTCAGTAAAACATTTAAATCAGGAAACATTTCATGGCAGAGAGGTTGACTGTTGTTGTATAAATGTCGAATACGTTGATATTTTGTTGGATACCAGTTTTTTTTTCAGAGCAGCACATTTTTCTCTTATTTTGTAATCTGATGAAAGGGTAAATACTTTGAAACTGGCAGATATTTTTTTTAACCAAACCTAACATTATTTATGTACATAAAAAAGTGAACACATGGTAGATTTCCTTTATCATTTTAATATCCATAAGTAAATAGTAAATCATAATATGGTCTGTTCATTTAACATTTGTATACAGATGTGATGACATAAGCATATACACAGAGAAACAATGCAATAAACAGCTAATCATCTTGTCAGAAAGATAAGATCCATTCTTGATCTTTTGAGCATATGTATGATAGTTTTCTGCCAAATTCTATTGGACTTTGCATGCATTGGCAATATATAGAATATGGGAGGGTTTATAAATAAGTTATTAATTTGTGTTTAAAGAAACTGTAAAGTTGGGGAGGGTTGTAAATGATGAGTTCTAAGTTTGTATAGTTTTTCTGCAAGTGTTCAGAAACAAAACATTTAAGAAGATGTTTATTGTTAACTTGCAATATTTTTATTCTGTGTATTCATATTTGGATACCATTTGTTCTATAATATTATTTTTGTAGGGAATTTTGTAAAGATTTTAGAAGAATGTTATATTGTGTGTGTGTTTGTTTATACAAGTTTTTATAAGTGTTAGTGTTCAAATTTGTACAGACTACTTACATGTAGACCATAAGAATTTCTCGAAACCATTAGCAAAGTGGAATAGGCAAGCATAGTTTACACTATATACATATTTTAGCAGAACTTTTAAATGGCAGTTTTAAGTAATGTCTGAAAAAATTTGCATTTACATTTTTACTCTTTTCATGGTTTAAAATTACTTTATATATATATTGTCATATTGTAAATAATGCAAGCAGCCATTTCTTGAAAATCATTCAGGCAACCTTGGAAGTTTTGTTCCATTTTGATAATTACTAAATTTTATAATTTTACCAGTTTTATATTGCTTTTCTATGAAATACTTTTTAAACATATTTTAATGATCTCTCTAGAATTAACATCTCAATAAGCATTTTTTTCAGACATTGGAAAATTTTATTAATTTGTATTCTGAAGATGTTCTTCATTGTACAAATCATTATCATTCTCAGTAAAAAAAGTAGTTTTCATATTTTCTGCCTTGTTGATTTTTTATATGCCAAAAGAGATCTAAAAAAATGAAGTACTGTGAGTTACTTCCTCCTGGTTATATATTATGCTCTGTTTGTGACTGGTAGCTAGTGGACTTAACCTTCTTATTCTTATATACACTTTTCTCCTTTTTTTGCTGAAAATATAAAGGAAGAATATGTATTGATACATGCATTAAAAAACATGTTATAGCTGTTTAATGGGGTTATGATATACTCCCCTGAAACATGATATAAAATATTAATGACAAGTTGCTTAGAAAATTCAGCAGAAAACCTAAACATGCACAAAATGACAAACAACGGCATATAAAAATTGATGGGAAGGATCAATGGACAATCTATAAAGAGGCTCTTCTTTCCCTATAAAAACAAACCCCTGTTCGAAATTCAATAGAACATGAGGTGCAAGTGCATTACATCACACTTAGTCAATTGTATTTTAAACAATGCGGGAGATCAAAATGGAATTTTTTGTTGGTGTTCACTAGGGAATTTAATAAAATCATTCTAGACTAACTTGAAATGTTTCACTTCGGTTTTTGTCTCACCTGCGAGGAAAGATGAGGAAGGCGAGACATAGATATTGCTTTTCCAGCAATTGCAGCAGCGTCAACAATTGTTAAGTTTTCTGCTTAAGACAGTTTGATAGGAAATTCTTGTGATAGATCAATGATATTTTCATTGATATTGCATTACTATCAGTATATAACAGTTTGGCGACTATTTCAAAGACCTTCTCTCAAGGTCCACTGACTTTCAATTAATTACCAATTTTCTGTTTAAATTAGTTTGATAGGAACTACTTGTGATAGAACAATGATGTTTTCTATAAAGATGCATTATTATCAGTTCATATACTGTCCCTTAGTTTATGGTCCAGCTGCTTTGAATTAATTAGCAATGTTGATGTCCATCAGATTGTCTTTTTTTTTAATTTTCTGCCAACAGGCGAGACATATCTCTGTGTCAACAGTTGCTTTTCCTGATGCTTGGTGTTTTATCAAATCATAATCACTGCCTTCGACCATGTCTTATATGTTGGCCTTGAATTACGAAAGTCCTGAATTTTCCCAATTAGAATTGAAATAATTTTCATGCTCTATGCTCATTTTAACATTGTTTGGCTTTATATTTGTCCACATTTTACACTTTAATAACGCTTGGTATAAAGATACTGACTAATAACAATGCATACCCATGTTAAAAAGAGCATAAAGGATTATTTCTTAGGTATATGAGATTCCCATCCCCTGCCCAAAAATGATTCTAAAACCACTTAACAATGGTTCTTTTCAATTAACTTCTTTTAGCTAAAATTACATTTAAAAAAGATTATACAGTTGTAAATAAATTTGCTGTTATTTCATCTTATCCTCTCAAAACTACCAGGAAGTAAATTTGTGCTAATGGAGTACATTTAATGTTAGATTGGTTGTTTTCAAAATGTCCAGTGACAAGAACAAATTAAAAAATGAGGGTAAAGTTTACTCCCCAAAGTTTGCTGTCAGTGATGAAGAATTTTTGACAGCTGGAGAAGCATAGGTTAAGAACGGAAATTTTTAATTTATCCTAAGAAAAAATAAGGAATAGATAATTTCTAAATCAGTTTTCATCTCATCAGATGTTTGGTGATAATATATTTAAAAAAAAACCTGAAAAAATGAATCTCACTATCCTGAAAATTACTACAAGAACCACAACTGTCACAAATTATGTACTGCTAAAAAAAATTCAGATGGCTCCATCAAACGACAAGTCTTCCTAATTTTTTTTTTAAATGCTACAGAGGAAAGCAGGTGAAAGATTCATGGATCTCATCATGTTGATTTTGATGCGAGGCAAACATTTCTGAAATGGTAACCTAACAACAACAACATTTTTCAGAAAACTTTTAAATTTGTTTTGTAAGTTTTGTTGAGAGGATATCAATTATGCATTCTATCTGATCACCTGGCCTAAAGTATGAGCTATTGTTGTCTTATGTCAAAAAACTATTCAAAAATTTTAATGGATAGGTTTAAATGCTGACCAGTAAAAAGGATCAATACAAGACCTACAAAAATATCTCTAAAAAAGATTTACAAATAAGCAAACACAACTGATTGCAAAAGGTAAAAATAAATATTAAAATGGCATTTACAGCTGTTATCCTTATGCTAGCAAGTTGAAGTTTTGGTTGGCTTTCTTGCTTTGTTTGTATTAAAGTTTGCCCAAGCCTTATGAAACATTAAGAGAAAAATTTAGCAGGAGTTTCCATACTCAGCCGAACCTGGTTTGTCTAATAAAATTATTAGAACGAACGAAGATCAACTGTATTCACAAGTCACTCCAAAGAGCCTGAATAGCTCACTTGGAAAATACTATTACAGCTGTTATCCTAATGCTAGCAAGTTTGGTTTGCTTGCTTGCCTTGTTTGTATTAATGTTTGCTCAAGCATTGTAATTAAGATTGACATATGAAAACAATATAAAAAGGCGGAGTTAAACTTGGACATTATCAAATAATCAAATTTACCTATAAACAGGTTTAACTCCGGTACTTATATTGTTTGCAAATGTCAATCTGAATTACAATGGGTTGTTTGAATTTCGTAAGGCTTTCAGTTGCAAAATCTTTCAGGAACATTAGTCAATATAATCTTGAAATACTAGGTTAGTGGTACATGCTCCATGGGGCCTCTGGTTAAACCTATTTCATATATTCTTAGATTTCAAACAAATGAGATATTCTTATAACAAGAATGCCACAATCCAAAATTAAAAAATAGAGGGCAATTTTTTTTTGCTTAATAAAAAATAGTATATTATCTTTTTGGGAGATAAAGTATGCTGTTTAATGACTGGTTTCAGATATAGACTATAAGTGCCTTTATCATACATTTGTCCTTTTAGTGTTATTAATCACAAATTATGGCTAAACATCGATCTTTGAGACTTGACATGTAATAAAAGTAAAGGGCCAATACTATAAACTACAGTTATTGAATGACAGAATGGAACAAGAACACATAAAATAATCAAATAAGCGAACATAATTTGAAATAAGTTTAAACGAAAAATATTTATTAAAAAAACGTACAAAAATGGGAGAGAGAGGTCCATTCCTCGAGCACCTGTGGTTCATCAAAGTGTCATGACTTTACAGTCTGTTTGCTTTATACATTTGTACTTGGTATGTTAAAGATCCAACATGGTCTTCTACAAAGCTGAAACGCTGTTATTGATGAATATCCTATACATCATTTTACTCATACTTATGTTCAGTGAAAATATTTCTGATTCAAGACTTGGGAAATATTTGTAACATAGTAACCCTGGATCAGTATTTCAAATTTTTTTTTCAGTTGCTACTTCTTGATCAGAAAGAAGCATCTGTCTAAGTTTCGAAAAATTACACAAAAATGTTGATGTCTACAAAAACTTTACACCCAGATTCTGACTGTATCTAAAGATTACTACCATAAGTAAACCAGTCTGTCCGACCGTGAATAAAATACGGGAAACTGTACAAAAATATTTTCGAAGATTTGCTGAAGATGCTATCTCTTTATTGTGTAGAGGCTTCTTACTGAATTTCGTAGAATTCCGTGAATGTTTGACTATTCATCTATGTCTAACGAACTCCAACCACAGATGCATGTATGATTAGGTTCTCGTGTTATTATTATTTTTGTTTATAGAGCTGCTTATCTTGCTTGTTTAAGGTTGTAGTACACCTTTAATTTTTGGTTATGCTTTAAATTATAGTTGTGTTTTGCTTTAATTTAAAGTTGTGCTTCAAATGTTTATTGTGCTACTGTTTTTTAGCCTCTTCGCTAACCAACGGTTACGACCCGAGAGGGGACCGAATCTTCTTCTTCTTCTTTAGGTACAGAAAACCATCAACATTTTGAAGATTACTTTCCGGCGCATGTAAAGTTTATTACATTTTTTCTTCTTTTTTTTTATAAACTTTACAATTTTCATTTAACTTTTAATTTTTACATTTTTTATATATTTTTTTTCATATTAAGATAAAAACTTGGACTGGCTATTTATGAGAATATCTTGCGATGGTATTGCAATTTCATTGTTTATGACTTTGTGGAACATTTGAAGTCTGGTTTTTAACCTGCGTTCTTGTAGGGTTTGCCAGTTTAGCATTTCAGATACACTGCTGGTGTTGTGGAATCTGTTGCAAGTTTAGCGTGCAGCTCTTCTTTGCACTTGTTCCAGTCTGTATATGTTTTCTGAAGTGTGTGGATCCCAAACTGTGCAGCAATATTCTAATTTTGGTCTTACTATAGTTTGATATGCTCTTTCCTTTACTAATTTTGAGTTAATGTGGCAAAAAGCTGTAGATGTTCTATATCCAGTATTTCTATATTTGTTTAAAACATATCTACATTAGAATAAAACGATTCAAATGAACATTTATTTATTAAATCAAACGAAATTTATACGAATTTTCATTTTCGAAATAGAAATTACCTAATGATTTGTTAGTTCTATTATGAGACTCACTAGTACCAGAGAATATCCTAGTGAGTCTCATGATAGAACTAATAAATCATTAGCCCGTATTCTCTGGTACAAGAGAGTCTCATAATAGAACTAACAAATCATAAGCTATTTTCTGTTTCGAAAAATTATCATAAGCTGAGTAGTCACTGTCTCTGTATAGACATTGATTCATGACATACTCTTCTTAAGTTCTCAGGTGATACATTTTCCCTTAGTCGAATTTGGCTTTTTTTCTACGGTTCCCTTATGTTCATATAGCAAGTAATATACTTCCTTTTGTGTTTGAGCATTCCTGGTGAATAATAAATTCAGAAAAATATTTCGGACGGACCAAATTTATAGTGTTATTTTAATTTATTCGTGTAATGATCGCATTTCAGTTTTCATAAATGTTTGTTTTCACCATTTCTTTTGCATTGCAACCATTTTGCATGGAATACTACTTGATATGTTATGATAAACAGGGGCGGATCCAGGA